TCACACAGATGGCATATACTCTTTTAGATAGAGATAATGCCACAAGTGTCTGAACTTCAATTTAATGTAAAATAGAGACTCTTGTAAATAGAGATACTATATACATTTATCTCCATGAATCATCCGGCGAGCAGACCACTCCGAATGGAGCGAACTTCAAAAATTTACCAACTTCGATTTCAGTCCATTGTTTGCTTGAATGAGCAACTTTGGAGATCCGCTATTTCCGTTTATTTCGTGATTTGGTCAATTGTTTTCGTATGACCTGAATTTCTGAATCTTGCGAACCCGAACTTTTCAATTCGAACTTTCACCGGTAGAGCGAGGCATTTTGCCTATGGAGAGACCGTGCGCGAAGCACCATTGGTCGCTACTGGAAAAATTAGCGAATCCGCTGTTCTTTTCGACATGTCCTTAGGACATTCGCTGCTTTCACGTGTTTTTCAATTCGAAGCCACTGCGTAACTCCGGTTTCTTTTGCTATTTGCCATTGTGTAGAGAAGTCAGGAAGATACTCTTAATACCAATTGGGTACGGCAAGGCGTAGTGCTCTACTCATTGCTTTTGAATTTGTGCCTGTGTTTTTGTTTCGACCTAATACCTACATAGGTACATGCATGAGTATTGAGCACATTTATATGCGCCCTCAAGGCTCAAGAAAGAGGTATATAGAGTAACCCTGTAGACAAGCACTGACCGGCAACAGGCTGAGAGTAAAAGAGTGCTGTCATTGGGGAAGACGCCTTAGCTGATCTTGAAGTAGATACTAGTACAACAACAACAACTACTACTATTACTACTACTACTACTACTACCTACTACTACCTACAACTACCTACTACTACCTACTACTACCTACTACTACTACTACTACTACTACTACTACTACTACCTACTACTACCTACTACCTACTACTACCTACTACTACCTACTACTACCTACTACTACCTACTACTACCTACTACTACCTACTACTACCTACTACTACCTACTACTACCTACTACTACCTACTACTACCTACTACTACCTACTACTACCTACTACTATTACTATTACTACTACTATTACTACTACTATTACTACTACTACTCCTACTCCTGCTCCTGCTCACTACTCACTACTCACTACTCACTACTCACTACTCACTACTCACTACTCAGTACTCAGTACTCAGTACTCAGTACTCAGTACTCAGTACTCAGTACTCAGTACTCAGTACTCAGTACTCAGTACTCAGTACTCAGTACTACTACTACTACTACTACTACTACACCTACAACACCTATAACACCTACAACACCTACAACACCTACAACACCTACAACACCTACAACACCTATAACACCTACAACACCTACAACACCTACAGCACCTACAACACCTACTACTACCACTACTACTACACCTACTACACCTACTACACCTACTACACCTACCTACACCTACAACACCTACAACACCTACAACACCTACAACACCTACAACACCTACAACACCTACAACACCTACTACCACTACTACTACACCTACTACACCTACAACACCTACTACACCTACTACACCTACAACACCTACTACCACTACTGCTACACCTACTACTTACTACCTACTACCGACTACCTACTACCTACTACCTACTACATACTAGCTACTACCTAGTACTACTGCTGCTACTACTACTACTACTAGTACTACTACTAGTACTACTACTACTACTGCTACTACTACTGCTAGTACTGCTGCTGCTACTACTACTACTACTGCTACTACTGCTACTACTGCTACTACTCCAACTTTTGCTGCTACTTTTGCTGCTACTGCTACTGCTACTGCTACTATTAATACTGCTGCTACTACTACACCTACTACCTATTACCTACTACCTAGTACCTAGTACCTAGTACCTAGTACTACCTGCTACCTGCTACCTGCTACCTAGTACCTACTACCTACTACCTACTACCTACTACTTACTTCCTACTGCTACTGCTACTGCTACTGCTACTGCTGCTGCTGCTACTACTACTACTCCTACTACTACTACTACTACTAATACTACTACTACTATTACTACTACTACTACTACTACTACTACTACTACTACTACAGCTACAACCGCAATCACAACGACAACTGCAACTACAATTACAACTAGAACTACAACGACATCCCTACACCTACACCGATACCTACACCTGCACTTCCACCTACACCTACCCTACAGCTCAACCCAACTACATTACACTACAGTGCACGGCTACACTACATCTACAGTACGCTACCCTATGCTACACTACACTACACTGCACTGCACTGCACTGCACTACAACTATATCCAGCAGTTGTGGGTGAGGTGACCATTGCAACCCATCCAAAAAGACAACTCCAACCACTTTTTGGTCCATCGGTAGATTTACTCTGCTGTACATACAACAACTCACCTCTCCCATAGTTTCGTATCATTGAAATTTCCGCCACCGCCTTGTGCGGTGTACTGGTATGTATATGTATATGTATTCACATATACATATATAATATATATAATATATATATAATATATATATTATATTTATATTTATATATATATATTTATACATAATATATATATAAATATGTATATATATATATACGTATATGTATGTACGAATGTGCGCTGAACTATGAAATATATACATGTTTCGTTTGACCTCGTATTTTTACTTTACTTCCTTAAACTTAGTTCCCATTAAAATCTACGCGGGACGAATTTGTTCCGTTCAGCCAAACACATCGGAGGTGTTTGGATGCTTTGTGGGTAAATTATATTTGTAATTTTTTGGCAGTGCAAACGGTCAACAATTGGAACCCATCAAATAGTGGAATACCCATCGCTGTAATCACGTTTGCCGCCAGTGCTTGTGTTTGACATCATTGAATGTTGCTATGGTTTGAGGCCTGTGTGTTTCAAAACAATCAAACACACAGACGGGCTGGGAGCAGAAAAGCAGATGTGTGCACGAATCAAATTTCCGGTGGCAGCGGCATTCAAACGCCTGCTTAGTAGTTTTATTGGAACGATTTTTTTCCTAGTCAATTCAATGTTTCATGTCATGTTTTTTCCTTCAGAGATTGAAAGGCACACCCAGCGAAAAACAACATTGTGTTGTATTGTGCTCTTGGGTGTCGTGGGACCAGTACAGGAGGATGGTGGGATTTTGGTCAATCATGTTGTGTATTTCCCTTTATGTAAGATGGCCAGATCCTCCAACACAAACAGTGTCAAACAAAGTCAACCAATTGCCAGGGAATTCAAATTTGTCGAAAAAAAACACCAAACAAATGAAACGCATAGACGTGGACCAACAATTTCGTGATCAAAAAACCACGTTCGAACCATCAACAAAAGGTTCGAATCATTTCATTTTCTTGCGTTGTTGATCTTGGAAGGCCGTGGGTGGGAGGTGATGATGACATATTCAATTTAAAAAAACACAAAAACCATCAATCCAATGTTTATGCACAAATTATTTGCAGTTGTGTCCATTGCCAGAACGACTGATGCAATTGCATCTGGAATCAAACAACCGTGTGCTGCCAAAATTTTCTCATTTGTGTGCAAACCAATTGCAACAGTAGTGTATGGGTTCTCGGGTGCCGAAATTCTGGTTTTTTGTTGTTTTGAATGGTTTGCATCGGTGATGCACCAGTCCCGGACTTCGATATTGAAACCGAACAACTGTATTTTTTAAATTACATTTGTTCAAATGTGATAAATCCGCGGGCAAACATCATCCAAACGACCCTGTTTTTCAATTCCCAACAACAGTGAGTATTAGTTTGTGATCTTTGCGTCAGCGAGTGGCGTGTCATTTGTTTGCCGAACCGGAACGATGATCCTGGAGCCTTTGCAAAACTGAGTCAATGTCTGAACATGCTGGCAACATTTGTTAGCATTGTTTCTTTGTCACTTTCTCCAGCTGACAAACAAATCTGGACAATTAAACCCAAAACAAGGCAATCATTTGTTCACTTGTTTGTTTTTGTGAATGGAAATTATCTGGATGGAGGAAAAAATGTGGCCTTTGTGGTGTAGATTGCGGTTACAATGGAAAAATGATGCAACACATTTTGGAAAACAATCACACTGAATCAAACAATTGGACCAGAACAACTTTGACATAGCCAACACAAACGTTTGACCGATTTGACTATCAGATAGTTGTTTTTCAACCAAATTGGCAAAAAAATGGTCGAAAAAAAATAATGTGTTTTGAAAAAAATTAAATCATGATTGATTGGGGAAGGACGACTTGAATCCATCATATAGCAAAATCATGGATGATAAATGATAAATCAACGTGTGAAAAGGGTTTGACAGGTGTAGAATCAATTTCGTTGTTGTTTGTTCTTTTAGATCCAATTGCAAACACATTTTCTTTGTATATATTATACAACTAACTAAATACTTATTACATTTAGCCGGTGGGAGTGTAGGTTGGAATGTTTTCAAGAAAATTGCAACATTTCGTGATGATACTCCATATAATCATTATTTTTTCTGGGTGGGGGTGGGGGTGGTGGTGGTGGTGGTGGTTGTGTTTGTGTTTGTGTGCGTGTTCGTGTTTGGTGCAATTTCAAATGTGTTTTGGTTTTTGCCTGACTGGTTGCACGGTTGCATGTTCAAATACACCGTGCCTTTTCTGGGTGTTGGTGCACACAAACCCATTCGACGTTTTCTGCCCTCTCATTTTCCAACAATCTCTCAGTCATTAATGGCTGTATACTTGGAAATATTGCCTGGAATTTGGTCGTTTGGAACAATTGTGCCGCAGCTTCACTGGCTTTTTGAAACAGTTATTTATTCAATTCTGATTTAGATGGAAATGCGGACAAACAAATTTAGTTGGACAACTTCTTGCGAAGTCTTTCTTTCACTAGAAATTCCCTTGAAACATGGTTTGGAACATCATCATTTAACAATGTTTGATTGGAAATCAAATTCCTATTCAATTGTCGCAATATTCAAACAACAACCACAAAAGTGGTTTTGATTTCAACACTTTGCCAGAGAGGCCAGCGCACACTGCTCGTTTGTTGTGTTTCGCTGCCTGCTGTTTGTCCAACTTTGCTACACCACAACACGAACATAATTGTTGGGCACAAAAATAGCCTTGAACAACATTTTTTGGTCATGATGAATTATATATATTCATGAAACGTATTTGTCAACCCAAACCATTCAGTTTTCAAGGTCGGATTTTAATCTGCTGGTTTTCAAGGTGTGCATTTATGTATTTTTGTTGTTTGGATTTGGAACGCTGTACACATATAGACAGCATTTGCATCTGCCCTCGTGTCAGTTTTGTGGAGGCTCAGTGGTCACAACTTCGTGTTGCATCATGGACATTGTTCTCAAAGACGCCAAAGGCACATATGGGCACTTTGAGGTGTTGTTTCGCGAACATTTTACGCCCCAGCAATTGTCGATCTTTCTTGCAATCGTGCACATTTACATGACAGTGACAAGGTGGGAAATGCGAGAATCATGGTGAGTTCAAGATGCAGAAACCCCAGTTGGTTGATGATTAGTTCAGGATAGTTGAGGGGTTATTAACTAATTTTTTCAATATTAAAATCATATTACCGTCATATTATCTACTGGGGATCCCAGCGACGCAGGAGTGTCTCCTGAGACGATCATCTCCATACGTGCTGGAGCAACGCGCCGTCAGGAGCGGTTCCTGGGTAAGCGTTGATTTTTACAGGGGACATTAGATTCATTAGATCTTAAACCATTGGGTGATTTCAGGATATTTCAGGTACCACATTTTGCACAACTGGAAGGCAATGAAGTCCAAATTAATTGGAATAGTGACACGAGATGTTCGACGTGCGCGTTGCTTTAACCATGTTTTGGCACGCCGAACTGAATTGGTTTTGGCGAGAAAAACATGCCAACAACGCCACCTCGCACAGGTTCCAGTCTCGCTGGTGGGAGAAAAACCTTTCAAGCAGGGAACCTGGACAAACTGTGGCATCCACATAAAGTAAAAGAGTCTGAAAATTTTATCTTTGTCGTTCCTAGCCTGCTCTTCAACCAACTTTCAGCCCATCACGCAAAAACGGTAGTTTGACATAGTTTGATTTGCATTTTTTTGAGACTGATCGGATTTCATTCAAAATTTGGTCATAGATTGTCTGTTTTTTCTTTGAAAGAGGAACTTTGACCAAAATCATGCGGACACAATGCAGCGACCTGTGGGCAATCGGTCTTGCAAATTTGCCTTTGTGCTTGACCTTTCTTGAGTTTGTATTGCTTCACCAGAATTTGGTAAGGTTCCCTTGCACATTGCGCGAGTGCAGCGCCATCAAGGCAGGATTCCTCCACGGAGTAAAAGTAACTGTAGCATCAAGATTGCAGGATTCTCGTAATGCCTGAACTTTTCAAGGCAAGGTTCATTGATTTTTGCATGCATAGTATTGCATAGTGCAAATTTGTTCCAATTTGTTGGGTTCTAAAAAACGTAGAGATGGGGATGGCGATGTAAATCCGCAAACATTTTCTGTTGGTTGATCCCAGCATGGGACTTCACTTTCATCCAGCCTGGACATTTAGCGCTGTGTATGGCCCTGCATGCTAAATTCCATGCAACGCATCTGGTGCCAAAAAACACACAAAATTAAAGGGAAATTCTTTGGATTTGTTTGGTTAAACCTGTTTGGTTAATTTTGGTTAGTTGTTGCAATGAATGCCTCAGTTTTGGGACCCAGGTGGATCTTCTCACAGTGGCGGCATCAGCACGTGCAGTTCTGACACCTGAGAGTTTGGCCCTCAGTGGAGTCCAAATATCCAGCAAAGCTGTAACCTTTTGAGAGTTCCGATCCGGAGAGCCACCCAAAAGTCGGATTCGAGTCGGTTTCGGGTTTCGGGTTTCGGGTTTCGGGTTTCGTCGACTGAAACCAACTTTCGCTGTCGGTTTTTCGGGTTTCGGGTTTCGGGTTTCGTCGCTTGAAACCAACTTTCGCTGTCGGTTTCGGGTTTCGGGTTTCGGGTTTCGTCGATTGAAACCCGGGTTTCGGGTTTCGGGTTTCGATCGGTCCTGGGGAAGGTAAGTCTTCAGAGTCGGTTTCGGGTTTCGGGTTTCGGGTTTCGGGTTTCGATCGGTCCTGGGGAAGTTAAGTCTTCAGAGTCGGTTTCGGGTTTCGGGTTTCGGGTTTCGATCGGCCCTGGGGACGGGTTTCGGGTTTCGGGTTTCGGGTTTCGTCGATTGAAACCCACTTTCGCTGTCGGTTTCGGGTTTCGGGTTTCGGGTTTCGATCGGTCCTGGGGAAGGTAAGTCTTCAGAGTCGGTTTCGGGTTTCGGGTTTCGGGTTTCGGGTTTCGGTCGGTCCTGGGGAAGTTAAGTCTTCAGAGGCGGTTTCGGGTTTCGGGTTTCGGGTTTCGCAGTTCGAAACCAACTTTAACAGTCGGTTTCGGGTTTCGGGTTTCGGGTTTCGGGTTTCGCTGGTCGAAACCAACTCTGTAGACCTCTCTCCGGATCACGTCTCCCTTTTGAGATGTAATGTGGATGCAGTTCTGTCTTCTGTTTGAGCTTGGATTTATAATACATTTGTGCTGTGTCGTCATGGCTAGCAGTGCTGGCTGGAAGATTTTGCCGCCCTTTGTGCTTGTGCCGTGTTCCCTGTCCCAGGTGACCAGCAAACTATTACCCTGCCGATTGGCAAGCAGACGGTGCCAAAGCAGGCCCAGACAAAGCAGACATCAATACAGCGCAATTTGATGCAATTTGTATCAAAGTGGTTCCGATTCAGCTGACTGTGCCTATTTGAAGAAACTGACAGAACATCCTTTGTAGGTGTGCAGGTCTGAGCATTGACACATGCGAAGCAGTCAGGAGAATAAGGTCGAACTCTTCAAAAACATCAGCTCCAAGTCACTATCACATCCTTTCAGTTTGCAGAGAAAAACAAGTGTGCTTCCGATATCTTTTGTTCCACATTTTGAAGTCTTCTTTCCTTTCCTCCACCCCTCCCGGTTGCTGTCTGATTCTTTTTTTCCTGAGTCCTGCAATGACATGTTTCCCCAAGGCAGAACAGCCAGCCGAGGATGCTGAGGAGGGGTTGAGACCATTGCCTATCGAGAACTATGTATATATATATAATATAGTATAACATACATATATACATATAGATATAATTAATATAGAGTATATGCAATATGTAGAATGTTTATGTATACACTATATATGTATTATATATGTATATATCAACATTGTTTTTGACAGAGACGGCAAAGTTTGTTTTTTTGTTGCTTCGAGGTGACTTTGGTGGTCAGTGAAGCAGGTGGGACTTTGGAGAAGTGCCGGTCTTGCGGCGGCGGTTTGAAATGGAATACATGAGTCTTGACATGGGGAAAATAAGCCATTAACGGGGATATATATATATATGTATAATGATTTATGATGGAATTATAAACATGCAATTTGATATGCCAAATCATGCAAGTCCTGTTCTTGTTGAAAATGCGAAGTGTGTGTGCAGCCAGTGTTCTTGTGCACACATTTCTATCTGGTTTTGAATGTATGATGCATCAAGAGCTTTGTGACCTTGCCTTGAAACCCAATTTGATGCTCAACAAACCATCCCTTTATAGGCAGTGAGACATAGGATCTTGTACGAAGCATTTCCTGTTCTGGCAAGGTGAAGCAGCGCACGGGTGCTCAGAACTGTTAAGAGTTCTTGTTGCAATTCAATCACACAGACTTTCCTTGTCAAGGAAGTTATTGAAGTTGCGGGAAACCGAAAAAATGCTTCTCGCACTAGCCATGTCTTTGCTTACTCTAGCTTTTTTTGCACATTGTTTGCTCAATTGGGGGTTCATCAATCTTCCATGTGAGGACCACCAGCATCTCCGAACGATTCCGAACATAAGTTTCTTCAGTTGCTACTAGCGACTAAGGCCAGTCAACAGCGCTGCTAAGAAAAAGGCGATTGCAGGTTCTGCTGAGGAATACATGGAGAAACACGGAGCAACTTGGCGTGGAATGTTCAACGAATGGCTGATGGAAGTGCAAAAAAACACGTTTTTTGCGAAGTTGGATCCAGAATGATAAAGCCAATGTGAAGTGTCTTTGCATAGAAGGGTTTTCTGGAAGTAGTAGGGATTGGAAATTCTAGGATTTGGGGGGTGACTTGATCACGCGATTTCGCAAGATGTTTCATGAATGCAAATCACTTTGACGGCAAAGTGGCGGCAGAGGAAATCAGGTTGACGAATTTCACCCCTTACCTCCCTGCAAGTAGTCATTGTCTGAAACCACTTCCTTCCAGTTGGCAGTGTTCTCTCAGGTGCATTCTATACTGCAGGGCTTGCTAAGCGGTCTCATCAAAGACAGGCCGGGGTGCCGTCTTGTCTACTTGTAAAGAGCACAAGCTAGTTCTCAACGGAAGGCTCAGTTTAGTTGGACTACGCGGAGCAGATCAAGTTTGCAATCTTTTGCTCTCGTTCTTGGCCGTAGCAGTTGGAAACAAAGACCTGCGTGGAATGTGCTCAGGCCTGATGATCCCTATAGCTATGTCCTCCACTCAGAGTTGAATGATCCCATCGATCAAGTAGGGAGTCAACTGCCACTGCCTCAGGTTGCATCGCAGTTTAAATCCAAAGCAAAGGAGAAGGTGTGGAGATCATGGTAGGGCAGCAGAGACTGAACCTGGTCATAAAAATTGGTATCTCAGTCTCTTGTAATTGGGCTTTGCAACATGAAGACCTGTCCGTCCAACCCTTAAAGTCATTGCGGGGTGGTAGACTGGCCTTGGCAGGTGTAGATTTCACTTACCCATAGGACAAAGGATTTGCAGTTCCCATTTTCGACTCTTGCAGTGTTACCCTAACAAGGTGCTTGTCGGTATACTTCCCGATTTCTGGGTGTTCAGTCATGGACCAGCCATGCAGGCGCCTATGGAGGATCTACGCACCCAAGCAAGAGATGCCTTGCTGCAGGGTGCACGCAGTGGAAAGCTGTTGGAGGCACCGGCTTCATGGCTTCATGGGGGGATTAACGTCACTGCCTGGTAATCAAACATGGCTGGAAAATCCCCCACCATTCCCCCATTTCTAGAACTTTAGTTCGATGATTGTCCCCTGAACATCTCCATTTCTGGGAATTTCCCTGCCAGCGTTGGATTACCGAGGGCACGTGACCCAAGTGACTCATACCACATCAGAGCTAGCCTGAAACAGGAGATATCAGAACACTGGCGTGTGTTGGTGCGTTTGCATTGCATCAAATCTTATGTTGGCAATGCTGCACCACGATGCATCATGCTGCACCACTCACTGTTCCAAGCTTTGCAGGTGCTGCGTGATGGAGGTAGTCCCAAGAACAAGCGCGGCGAGCAAACTCCGACAGGCTGCCGGCTTGAAACATCCTTGATCAAGCCTGAAGAAAGTCTGTTTTGTCGAACTTTGTTGGATTTTGACCGAGGGAAATAGGCTATCCTTGGCTAAGGTATGTCAGAGTCAGAAGTGAACCGCTTGCGAAGCGAAGCGGCTGCTTTGCTCTTGAAGGGAGCCCAGTCTGGAAAACTGTTTGATGCTTGGAAGTTCAATTGGGACTCTGGTTGGAACCTCTCTGACAAAGAGATACTGGGAATCATTGCCCTTGCTTTTCATTGCCTTGGTGACTTAATTGCTTTCTTGGTATTTTGTATGCTTGTGAATATCGCTTAGAATGGGAACGGGAGCCTTCTTTGCTGATGCTTTGTTGCATCGTCCACTGCATTTTCTCTACATCTGTTCTCTAGTAAGTAACTTGAGTTCCTTGCACTGATCCTTTCACAGGAAAATCTTGGAATATCTTGGAATCTGGTTTGAGATGGGCTTCCATTCATGCTGGGGTACAACCACTGTACCAGAACTTTGCGATGTCAACACTACAAAACACCTTTCCACATTTCATCTCCTGATGTTTCTACTTGACGTCCTTTCGTCCGAGGAAGTCTTGCAAAAGAGAAAGACCGAAGATTTCGGAGCACCTCCAGAGCAGTCTGGTGAGATCAAGCAAGACAACCAGGCCCCAGAAGAGATGGACATTTTGAAGCAAAAAGCCAGAGAGGCCCTACTGATCGGTGCGCAGTCCGGAGCTCTGCAGGCAGCACTTGCTGGGAGAAGTGGAGCTGCAGCTACAGAGGTGGAACAGCTTAGAGCCCAAGCCCGAGAAGTGCTGTTGAAAGGAGCACAAAGTGGAAAGCTTCAGCAAGTCTTGGCAGGTCATGAAACGAAAGAGGAAGAAGTTCATGATATCGATGAAATAAGAGGAGAGGCCTATGCAGCTCTACTGGAAGCGGCAGAGTCAGGGAAGCTAGAGGAGATCTTGAGTGGTGGTGCCGGTGCGGCATCCCAGTCAGATCCAGACTTGCTCCGGAAACTGGCCCGCGCCACCTTGATGGAAGGAGTGCAGTCAGGAAAGCTGGATCAGGCCTTAGCCAAGCGCAAGGCCAAAGGCTCAGATCAGGGGCAATCCACCCTCGATTTGAGGGGACAGGCAAGGGCTGCGCTGTTGGAAGGTGCAAGCTCTGGAAAATTGCAGGAACTCCTTGCCAAAAAGCAGAAGGATGGGGAATCTGTTGATCCAGATGCCTTGCGGCAACAGGCCCGGCAGGCATTGCTGGAAGGTGCTACCTCTGGAAAATTGCAAGAAGCCTTGGCAAAGAGACAACAGCCTTCTCAATCTGATGGAGATGCTTTGCGTTTGCGGGCACAGGCCGCGGCTGCTCTGTTGGAAAGTGCTGAATCTGGCAAATTGCAAGAAATCTTGGCGAGTCGACAACAGCCTGGTGCACCTGAGAATGATGATGTGAACACATTGAGGCAACAGGCGCGAGAAGCACTTTTGGAAGGTGCACAATCTGGCAAACTCTTGGAGATTTTGCAAGCAAAAGTCAATGAGACAGACGACATGGAAAGCCTGCGTGCTCAGGCGCGTGAGGCATTGATGGAGGGCATGGCAAGTGGCAAACTTGCAGAAATGCTAAGCAAGAAAGCAGAGGACGCGGAAGTCAACGACCTGCGCCAGCAGGCTCTACAAGCATTACTGTGGCTTGTCCGGTGATTAGCATTGCTTTCGGCTTTGAATGGTGTGTTGTACAATGCCTATTCTTTTTGGCATATGTCCCCATCATGCATTGATATTGTAACCATTTCAAGCCAGCCCTTGCAAGGGTGTCAAGGGTTGTCAACCTCAAGTTGCTGGAAAATGGACAGGTTTCTAGCGGCATTTTCTCCACTGACCTAAAGTCTTTGCGAAGTCAGGGTTGAATCAAGTTGAAGACTAAGGGCGGGCGCCCAATCGGGCAAGCTGAGTGAAATCCTTACCCAGAAGACGAGTGCAGCGTCCGCCTCTGATGCCACCGGTAGCGGCGCGGGCGTGGAGGCTTTGCGCCAGCAGGCGCGGGCCGCGTTGCTGGAAGGAGCGCAGTCTGGAAAGCTACAAGAGGCGCAGCAATGAGTCGTTGTGGTTTCTGGCTTTGGGCATGTTGGGCCGAAAAAGGGATAGCCAAATATTTCTGGATGTTAATTAGGCATACGATGATCAAGTATCCCAAAATTTTAGGGTACCCTATTCTGAGACAAACACACCCTGTGGTTTCGGCTGAGTTCCATGATCCTGCCTGCTGGAGGTGCTTGCGCACAAGGAGCAAGAAGCCAACAAAATTGAAGATCTGAGAGTGAAGGCGAGAGATGCACTTCTGGCAGGCTGGGGGCACCACTGACTCTGCAATAGAGAGAAGAAAGTGTCAATCAAGAACTCAATCAGTGTCATTGCAACCTGGCGCGGATATGACATCTTTTGCTTGGCCTCCAAGTGGAAGGATTGTTTCTTTCTGTCTGTAGAATTGGAGGTTGATGTATGTTGGTGTTGTTGAAACTTGGAGGTGCCCAGTCTGGGAAGCTGCAAGACTTGCTGACAAATGAGTGGGCACCTCAGAAACCGACCTTGACCTTTGGCAGATGGAGGATATCCCAAAGCCATTTGGCTTTTGCCAAGATTGGATGGCTAGGGATTGGAGAATTCTATGGTTGTCCCAAAGCCATTTTGCTTTTCAGTACATCTTGGTGTGCTGGTGGCATGGCTCAGTCTCGAGACTGTCATTTTTTTTGGTGTGGCTTCTCATCTCTGTATAATTGTAGTAGGCTCTGCGGGTGAGTTCTCAACAAAGATAAGCAGAGTACCGCAAGTTTGAAACGCTGCAGCATAGCGGGGCACGTTTCAGTTTCAAACTGTTTCGGGCATGTTTCTTCCAACAATTTTTGCCTTTGCATGTGATTGGAACTGATGTTTCAGAAGATGTTGAACTGACCGTAACTGACCTATATAATGACCCATTTTCAGAGAGGCTTTCAGCGTCTCAGGTCGGGGAATGAGATGACTCAGAAACCCGAGACTCTCGAGACTTTGAAGGCTGGACCGGCTGGATGATTTCATCGGTGCTTTGTATTTTTTTTTGGGCTTATTCTTGAAGTTTCTGATGGGTTTACACTGTTTACACACTTGCATAGCACATATAGCACCATCAGCACCTGAGTCGTTGGCTAACTCTGCAGTTAACTTCAGAAACTCTGCAGGAGAGCCTACCACCACCTGCTGACAGGACAGTGGGACAGTGACGCTCTCGCAGGGATAATTAGTGTCCTGCTTTTACCTCCAATCCGACCAAATGTGTTGTATGCCGGGAAACTATGACATGGTGTCAGATTTTGAACCTTCTGAGCTAAGATGTTGATGCCTGGCAGTTTCAAGGGACCGTTTGCCTACCCTGCTCCCTCGGATTCAATCTTCCAGGGAGAAGATTGTTGAAATGCAGACAGAGTACAGTGCTCGGTGGTTGTGCTTTCGATTGAGTTGGATCAACATCATCAAATGTTCTAAGCACATGGTAGGTCGTTTGGCATGGCACACATAGGGTCGAAAGGGCTGCAAAGGCGTCGAGATCAGACCAGTGTCAGTCCAAGGTTGAAGCTCATGTCTGAGCAGAACAAGTTCTGACCTCAGTGAAGCAAAGTGAAGCCATGCTGAAAGGATTTCCAGGGAATATTGTGGCACCGAGGAAGTTGGCCGCTGAGAAGGAATGCCTGCCCCAGTGCCATGTTTCTGGGAAGGGCGGCTTGGATGACGGGTCACAACTTGTAAAGATATTGTCATATTTGTAATGGTGGATGATGAATGTATGTTGGGTTTTATCAAGGTTTTCCTGAACTACTCTCTTTCAGATCTTTCAGTCAGATTTGAGTTCTGCTTAGATTTTTCGAGATAGCTATGATAGCTTCTTTTACTGTCCGCTTTCGGGTGATCGAAGAGAAGACTTGACAGTCGACTGAGAAGACCACGACAGGGAACAACTGGTCGCAGAGTTGGAAGCCAAGAATGCGGAGTTGAAATCCAAGCACCTCGGTGCGGCAGTATGCGGCAGTGACGGAGTTTTTCGGATGGCATAGGATGACAAGAATTGCATTCGCATTCCGAATTCCGAGTTGTTTCTGTGTCATTCTGTGTCATTCTGTGTCTAGTTTGCCTAATCTGGATTAATTTGGTTGGTCATGTCATGAATGTTGTTGCCTTAGTGCCTAGGGTACCCTTTTTTCAAGGTGGATCATTGATGCAGTCCTGGTTTTGATGTGTTCCGGATCCGAAGTTTGACAAGCAAAGTGTACTTGGACGGACACAAAATGTCAAAGATCAGCGGACCCAAACGACTGATTCATACCGACGCAGCTGATAGCGAACGTGACCCAGGAATGCTTGAGCGATGAAGCGAGCTTCAGGTATCCCAGCTGCGATTGTGGAACTGCCACGGGTATATTGGCCATGAATACCATCTACGTTGAAGTTGAATGCCTGTTCATGAAATGAAATCTTATTATTAATAGTGAATAACAAATCGTGTAGTTTGTTATATATCTCATGCAAGTATCATGCGAGCGATACGAGGTCTGGTTACTCTGGTTGACCTTGAGGCTTATTCATAGCTGAGTTTTCTTCTGTGCCCATTCCTGAAGATTACAACCAGTGAGCTAAGTTTTGTTGCTTTCACAAAACTATTCGTGGGGTCTTCAAAAAGACTGGAATTTATCAGGATTTGCTGCTGTTCATAAAGTGGATTGGACCTGCCTTGTCGACATATTTGTCCTTCAGATCCTACGAAGTTTGAAGTCTTATCGAAAGTTTGAAATCGTTGCATATTTTCTAGAAGCAGTAGTCACTGCCCTGACTACAGAGATTTGGATGATACAATGCTGCTATTTTTCTTTGTATCTTCAGGATTTGTCTGCACATAGCTGGAGCACTGACCTTTGAAAAGGGTCCAAGAAAATGAGCTAAAACGGCTCGAAGCACACCACACGTGCGATCACCTTTGTTTTCTCCAATGCAAAGCTTCAAATGCTACAAGACCATGTTCTACATGTTGCTTGGTCGACCCTACATTGTCTTGGAATATGCTTTGTCCGCCTCACGTCTGTCGCTGTTTGAAACAGCACCAGGTGTGGATGGATTTGTTTCACCGTATCACTACCAACCCAGAAAGATCCTCGACATTGCCCTTTGAGTGTCTGAAAAGAGGCGCTTTATGCGGTTGATGCGAAAGGGAATCAATATCATCTGGGCGTGGCTCAAACTGATTGACCCCCCAAACAGGATTGTTTACCACAATTTACCACTAAAGATGACCAAATTGTGGATGTATTGGTACCCCATTCGCCACTTTGAGCCATACCCTAGAGGGAGAGAGAGAGTCCAACTAAGTTGCGATGGATGCACTCTGCGAGCCCATTTTTCCCAAGCGCCACTCTGGATCGGCGCAGAATCGGATCCAAATCTAATAGGGAGAGAAACGATAGAATACTGATTTCTCGTCCCTGCTGCTCAACGGTGTTTGACTCAACTCGAAAAACCCCACAGAGAATGATGAATATCCCGATTCTGATCGTGTGCCGTAATATATATCTTTCTTCCTTGTCAATAGTACTCACATTACCAGCTGTTGGAGAAGAAGACTGAAAGACTGAACATGAGACGAACTTTCGAAAAGTGCTGCAACAGGTGACAACTCCAACCGTAAGAAAAGCGTTGCTGTAAATTGCCGCAGTAGATGGGTTGGGCGCAAAGAAGCCCAGCCTAGCTTCGGACCATGTCTTCAGAGGCACAAGTCTTGTGAATTTGTGGATTTGATGGTCATTTTCTGAGAGTCGTGAATTTCGATTGCGGCGATTTGAGGTGTTTAGGCGGTTGGAGTCACCCCAGATATCTAGATACTTGCAAGCATTGTGGGACTTCTTCCTGTCTTGGCTCGAATTTGGACAGGAGCTGGGCTTGTTGCGGCCTCGGTTTCAAGCAGAATGACAATGGCTCGTGAACTGAAAATGATTTGAATGCTCTTCTTGGGTGTTGTCACTTCAAGTCTTAGTTTTCCAATGTTTTCCAATGTTTTTCATTTTGGCCTTGTGTAAACAGTGTATCTTGTGTTGGTTTCTTTCTGATCTCATTCTGATCCCTTGAGGCCCAGCTTCTTGGTGGGCGATGTTCTCATCCGCCATCCAGATTTGGCGGGGCTGGATTCCCCCGCAGAGCTCTTTGCCGTCGACACGCCAGAGGTGGGACGACGTGGATTTCCCGTAGAGCGATCTGGGAGGATCTCCAGATGGATAGCTGTGCGATGGATGCTGGGAGCCACTGAGGCACAGTCTGCACCACGTGTGGAAGCCAAGACATGCTGAGAATTCTTGGGACATGCAGTGGATGCAGCCTCCAGTAGGATGATATAAGATGATACGCGTATCTGCATGTATGGTACATTACCCTCCATCCTGGCGGATGTCTCACAAAACCCTAAAGAGACGCTCCTCCCCAACTAACTCTGGTAGATTTGCCATTCTGACAGAGTGGGTGTACCAGGTCATTGACCATTCTCTTCCAGTTGGGCGATCACATCGTTCCAACCGAGGCTGGGGAGTCTTTTGGGCCGCTGCTTTTCGAGCTGGGCTCCTGAGAGGGTAAGCTGTTGCCGAGGCTTCTAACTGCACCACTGAACTGAGGATGCACCCCCATTGCCAACCAGTGTGAGGGTCGGGGCAGCCCAGAATGAACAACATGTGCTTGACAGACACAATCTGTTTGTGAAACATTCCCATCAGTGGTCTGAAAACAGTGCATGTTTGGGGAACTTTCCTCACTCATTGATGAGACGAAGGCCAAATCAAAAGTTGATCCCTCACAAAACAGACGCTTCTTGATCCTTTGTGATACTTTTGTTGATCATTTTTGATTCACATTTCGCACTTTTTTTTTTTTTAAATATATATATATATAAATATAATATATTTGCTTGTGATTAGTGCCAAGATGTGACCCTAGGCTCAGTTGCCCGAAGAAGGCGGTTTCGTGGTGCGTCCCTTGACGCAACCAATGCCCGCCTCAGTGCTCCGAGTAGAGGGCCGATGTCTTCAAGCACCACGAAGAGAGGTTCATGCCGAATTGGGTGTCTGTGGCAGCAGATGGTGCTGGATTCTCTTGGATTTGAGAACTGAGTAAAACTACATATGTTAAACTGGGATGAAAAAAATAAGAACGGGATCTGTACTGTATCATCCAACGGTTGTAACTAATCCACAATTGGGTTTTGAAAACTTCCTGTTTGGATGTATTTTTGCTTGAATTTTGGCAAATGAGACCTGAGTTCAACAGCAAACCCCGGACCTTGCTCTTGAATCCTAGCCTCCGAGTTGTTGATTTCCACATTTTGACTTTTGATACACTCACGACCGGAACATGTGCATGAGCCCAAAGCTGTGACTTTCAGGTCCACAAAATTTGCAAATCATGCCCTCAGGAACCAGAGCCCCTCCACTTACTAACGTTGAGGTTAGTCACCAACCATGCTTCGACACACCGAGGCTTTCCAGAGCCGGCGCTGGTCAGCAACGAGGTTCCTGGTTCTCTGATGTTTGGTCACAGTAGATGAAGTATTGAGTGTGATTTGGTTGAGTTGTGTCCTTTCTATTTTCTACTTTGGCCCAAGCTGCTACTGACAATACTCAACCAATCCAGGCAAGTGTGATTCATGTATTGCACAGCATGAAGGATAGAGGGGTGTGACATCCCAAAACTCAGGCAGTCAAATCTGGAAGTTTGGCAGTTTTTGCAATGCTGCAAACAATTATAGTAAAGTTTCTTTCAGGTCCAGTTTGCCAAGATTGGTGGATCTGGACGAATATCGACCACACGTATCCCTCACTTCGGGAGAACGACCAATGCTGCGGCGCCTTGATGTGCCATGGCGGACCGTGCGGCCTCCGTGGACTGCTTCAAGCTGCAGATCTTTTGCCTTCGCAGACCATGTGGACGAAATATTGTTCAGGGTCAAAGGAGATGGAGTGGATGTGGCCAAATTGGCTGGTGGAATCTACCTGCGCAGCAAGCGCAAACAGGACACCTTTCTGGAAGGCATGGGTGATAGGAGTATTGAGAATTGCGTGCGTGGCCTCGTTTTGGCGAATAAGTTTGCTGAGAAGCACAGAAAGGAAGGTGATCCAGAGAACATCCCCTGGTTCCATCGCCTGGCTTTTGCGCCTCAATTGAGGAAGCGAAGCGATTTATATTGGATCAGTCTGAAAGTGATACCTCTGGAGAGTCCATACCAAGAAGGCGAAGGAACACCCGGAGATCGCTTGCGGGTGGGCAGGAAGGCTGAAGTCCAAGGCCAGTACTGTGTCAACAGCGGCACTGGATGGGGAATTAGATCATTAGATGAATCCAAACATGACACGATCCTTTTCATTTGGTCATCAGAATTGCGGTTGGATTTTGAGTTTCAATTGAGCTAATGATCATTGCTACTCATGTCATTTGGAATTCTAAAGGATACCACTTCAGATCACAGAGGAATTGCTCTGAATCCCTCTGCATTTTCATAGCGGCCCCGATCAGCGACTGCGCACACAGCACTCTGTCAATTTTGTTTTGCTTGGATCCAGGTCTTTGTATTCAGCAACATCACTTCATACATTGCTACAATGAAAGGTAGCTAATGTAGCTACAGAGTTTGCTCACAAGCAAAGATAGATAAAGATAGATATTGACCAAAGAAGGTTTTGCCTCAGGAGAGAAGGACCTCTGCCCAAGAATCGAAGGTGTGGGCGGTGTAGGTGTCCTGTTTTCCCGTGGGAGGCCTTGCTCGAACCTTCATGACCTCCTGGACCAAACGATGCCTGGGTCAGAGCCTGGAGCCTTGCGTACGCTGCATGGGTGCAGAGAATGTGAGCTTGGCAGTGAAGGGTTTGGCTCGATGCCTGAAAGATATGAGTGACCGCAAGGGAGCCTTAAGGCTCTTCGTGTGTTACCCAGAGACTTGGCTTTTTTTTGGCTAATTTGATTGGCATTCTTTGAACAGCCCGGGAGTCAGCGGCACCAACCAAGCGTTGACCATTTTCGGTAGGTGAACTGTGAAAATCTGTCCTTGACTAAGGAAATGTTGCAAGAGACTCTGCAAGAGAGCGGTGATACAGTCACAATGACACAGATCCGGATAGAACCACGGCCCAGAAATTGACACGCCAATCCTTTTGGACGGGAAAAGCCTGGAGTGAAAGCCATGCTGATGCTGGATTGATTTTCATTTTGAGACAACTTAGACTTACTTGGAATCTTTGGACAAAGTCTGGCAGTCCAGATGTTAGGCTTTGAACTTTTATTGTCGGTAAATGAAAGTCTGAGCTGCATGCAATGAACTCGCACCAAAACCATTCATGCCTTTCGTTACCGTTGCAGCTGATGATGATCATAAGTTATAATTACAGTATGTCAATCCTTATATCGAGAAAGATAGATATGGGGGTTTCTTAAAATGGGGGATTCCAAAACCACGGATTTCAATACTAAAATGGTCATCCATGACTTGGATGATTTGGGGGTACCCCCATTTCAGGAAACCACCATATTGGTTGCTGTTGCTGTTGTCGCCGTTGCCCTTGCTGTTGTGGTCGCAGGTCTTTGCCGAAGTCCGTTATGGCCTGGCGCCCTCCGTGGTTCAGCGCCTGGACTTTGAAGATATTCGCGAAGGCGGGGTCCAGGGTATTGGATGGTGGATTGGTGGGTTTTTCCTCTAAAATTCTGAAAGAAACCTAAAGAAACCAACAATACATTTGCCCAACCACATCACAGATTTTTTTTAAAAATGGCTGTGGTTATCTTGTACAATAGTTGTTCATATTTCGGGATTTACCTTTAATTTTCCATTAAAGCAATCCATTCAAAAATGGCATCCCTGCAAGGTACCCTACGCCTCTTTGCCATCCCTGGCTTTGAAGGTGATGTGCGGGCTGAAACCTCAGTCGAAAATGAAGCATTGGAAATAAATTGTTCATTTCCCAAAATTTTATTTCTATTTACGATAATTTATTAACCAGGGATAAATTTGAGGATAAAATTATAAGAATAAATATTTATCCTTTATCACCAAATTTATGGTTACTTAAAGAAGGACAATGATGATTAACCAGCGTTTTTTTCCCCCGAGGTAGTGACTTTGGTGGACGAGTTGGCGGCCAAAGAAGTCTTGGCCCAGATCCACCACGAACTGACAGGTGTGGCACCTTTTTGGGCGTCGTGATGTGGGGAACCCTTTAAAGGGGCAAGGACGTGTAGTAAGTTAAGTGGCATTTACTACAGTAAGCTCTTGTATTTGTACGTACAGTTTCGGATATTTTTTGTCACCGATTCTGAACCATGGGCCAGATCTAATTTCTAGAAAGTTACTGAATGTTGGTGGTTTGGCGATGTTGGTCAGCGAATCCCGAGGATGGGTTCCGGTACAAAACAAAGCATCAACTGTGGGAAGTTGGGTATCCAGTGGATGCTTGGACATGCTCAACCGTTGTTGCTTGATCAATAAAATGTCAACATGTTCCCCAATCATTATACCATCAGAATCCACCACAATGAGGCATACATCATCTCCAATAGTTATGATCTATCAAATTAGGTATACACTGACTTGGAATGAAGAATTAATTTCATAGCCCCTTTTTGTCCCAGACTTTGTTGAAGGCAAAATTTGCAGGACACCCTATCTTTTGGGGGTGACAACCATGGTCGCCAGCAATGGTTTCCACACATCTTACACCAATTATGTAATTAAACCAATGATGATTATGATTTAATAATGCCTATTTTCATCGAATCACATCCTTATGTATTATTATTGTTGTCTACAATTATCATTGTTTATTATGTTTCTTATCATTATAATTATTATCATTTTCACTAGTACTATAAGATCATTATACGATCATTATAAGATCATTATAAGATCATTATAAGATCATTATAAGATCTTTATAAGATCTTTGTAAGACCATTATCTATCACTATCACCCTCACTATAACTATAACTATTTACTATTCACTATTTACTAGTACTACTACTATTGCTATTGCTTTTGCCATTACTATTACTATTCGTTTTAGCATTGCTATTGCTATCACTATTACCCTTACTCTTACGCTTACGCTTACTCTTATTATTATTTTTATTATTAGCATTACGACTAGCAATACCAGATAGTGCCCGGCACGCGCTGGGGCGGAAGTTTCGTGCGATGTAGAAGCAAAGAACTGTTGAAGTTGTGAGGCGCATCAACGAATGAGCAAACGGTGGTTGAGATCAATGAATCACGGTGAATCAATGAATGGATGATGAATCGATGAATCAATGAATCCATGAATTCAATGAATCGATGAGTCAGTGAATCCATGAACCAATGAATCAGTGAATCACTGATTTAATGCATGAATGACTTTGTGAGTGGATGAATCAGTGTTTAGTTTTACTGCTTTACCGTTTGCTGCACCCACGCAAGGATGATGTCTTGGAGTTGCGCTAGCGCAGCACCACTGAATGTCAACCTATGATGGACCTGCAATGTGATCAACCAAGCGTTTGGGGCCCCAATAACCAATCAATCCATCTGTCTTAGGTCGGGAGCGACAAAGGCATGGCCTTCTTGGGATGCGCCCACCGGCACCCCGGCCAAAAAATATGCAGAGACGGTCTTGAAGACTTGAAGAGAGGTTACTAAGCACATGCCACAAGGCACAACAAGATGCAACAAGTAACAAGTATATGGATTTGATGCGCTGTGGTCAGGCCGCGGCATGCAGCGCCTGGGAGCTTTATCCTGCTCCCGGATGAGATTGACAGGCCCGGGCTAGTGCTTAGCGATGAGTCCAACTGCGACCCGCCACTCCAATTTTTTTGTCAGGTGGCTCCTCAACAAGAACAAGGAGGATGTCACCAGGTGGGGCCACTCATTGGTGCAGGTGACTTTTACGAATGCCCCGGCGGCCACATGTTTCAGTTTTTCTCTTAGTTTTGTTTTTCGCAGTTTCTGCTTTTCTTTGCTTTGACGGCTTTTCTTTGCTGGCTCCTTTTGTGCTTTCTTGCTTGGTTTTTCTTTCTGCCTGTCTCTGCTTCTCTTTTGCTTTCATGCTTCTTTTCCACGAGCCACGAGCCCAAGAGACGCCAGCCAACCAACCAAGCAAGCAAGCAACCAACCAACAATAAGAACACAAATGACGACGGCAGCAGCATCAGCAACAAAAGCAAGCACAAACACAGTTACAAGGCTGTTCAAGGGACGGGTTTGGACTAATATGGACTGATACCGGTTTGGCTCAGAGCACTTGGAGATAAGCACGGACCTTGCTGCCGGCCCATGCATTTGAGGCCCACCTGGACAGATGGTCATGGAACCTCAGACATTGTGTGTGTTATTCTGGTGGGTAAACGCATGACCCAGCTTGCATGAACATAAGCTGGTCCTTGCTTGCCGGGGACGTTCGTGTCGTGTTCCCCAGTTTTGTGGTAATTCTGCCGTGCCTTTTTGGGGATCCATACTTGCCCCGACTTTAGTCCCGCGCAAGGGATTTCTTTTGGGTTCACGTTGGGCTCACAGCTTGGCCCATTGCTAGGCCCGGTCTTAAAGCCGTTCTTCAAAAAGGCGGCCGATTGCACAGTGCAGCTTGGAGCAGAGCTGCTTGTGCATTGCCTTCTGGTGCAGGCAAGTCCGAGTGGTGCAAGGCTTGGCGGGCCGAAGAAGGAAAGCGCCAACAAGCACTTTCTCGAAAGAAGGCCCTCCAGATGTTGATCATCTGCGGGATCGTGACACAGAAGGACGGGGTGGCCTTTGCAATATTTTGGGCATGGCGCTGTTGATGTTTCTCCCCGCCTGCCATGCGGGGGCTAATCATTAGATTTATATATATATATATATTTATGCCAGCAGTGGTCTGCCTTTTCCGTCTCATCATCCTCGGCAGCTGCCGGCGGCCACTGGAGTCACTGGAGCAGGAACCAGGCACCGCCGGACCCGAACGCCACAGCCGGCCGGAATGTTAGAGCACACGTCAGAAAGAATGCAAGACGGCAAGAATGGCAGAACAGAACTGCCAAACAGATGAAACAGAATGTCAGCATATGCGTCAGGAAGAATGCCAGAATTTACATCAACAGGTTCCCATGTTGGGGACCACAGGGGGTAAAGTAATTGCTGCTGCACAAAGACGCACCAATCCGCCCATGTCATCCCATTTCCTTTTTCCCTGGCCCATCCACTGCATGGGGAGGAGGTATGCCAAGACTGGACAACCATTCCTGAAGAACACATTGAGGAGCACTTTGGCGGAAACAGCGAGGGAAAATGACGATGGTTGTATGGCGATCGCTGATCCTCGCAGCCGCTTGCACCAACTCAGGTGCATCAATATCATGCAATGGACCATGGACAAAGAGATGGGCGCAAAGGACGCTAAGGACAGCCGGCAACTGGTGAGGGGCATTTGAGAGAGGTGCCAAGCCTTCCACGCCCTCCAGGAATTCTTCGTGACAATCCTTGAAGAAGTTTGGCAGAACAAGGCTTCAGGGCTTTCGGGCGAGGTGGGAACTAACCCCTCCGCACGTTAACTTAGGCGATTTTGTTAGCCATTGTCATATATGTTTTACAGACCCGGCCTGAATCAGTCGTGATTTCCAGGTGTCAACACAGTTGGGGACCTGCGCAGTGCGTTTTTGGGGCAGGGCACGTCCCACCAGTTGCCAAGGTGTTTGTACACGAGGCCAGGCAACCGGAACCTGTAGAAACGCCCGGCCCTTAATTACAACTTCAGAGGGCGCTGAAAAAATCACCATATCTACCACAGGAACTTGCTCCTGGGTGGTGGCAAGCCCATCAGCGTGGAATCAATGAAAAGCGGGCAGTGAAGAGAACCACAGGCACATAACAGGTACATCGTGCATCGGTGGGAAGCAGGATTTGCCCCCAAACAGGCACCCCCTCAAGGATTACATTTGCAGGGCAGGGCTGCGCTACTTGCCAAAAAGTGGGCCCATGTGTTTTTCCAAACCTTGTGCGAGTTGCGCATTTGCGCGTGTGAATGTACATATCATGTGCATAAAATTGCACCTGCATAATGCATACTTCATGCATACTTCATCCTTGTTTGTGCTGGCGGCTGGGAAACCGTACGTGCGTTTTGCTAGTTTTACAACGTGACTGGTATGTTTACATGCCGTGAGCACCATGTGATGGAAGATGTTCTGCAGTTGATGCCACGTTGTTAGCATGGGTAGGGTGGGGTGGGGCACTAATAACGTCGCTGGTGAGTAACATGTGATGTAAGGTGTTCTGCAGTTGACGCTACGTTGTTAACATGGGTAGGGTGGGTTGGGGCACTAATAACGTCGCTGGTGAGTAACATGTGATGTAAGGTGTTCCGCAGGTGATGCTGCGTTGTTAACATGGGTAGGGTGGGAGTGGGGCGCTAATAACGTCGCTGGTGAGTAACATGTGATGTAAGGCGTTCCTTAGTTGATGCTGCGTTGTTAACATGGGTAGGGTGGGGGTGGGGCGCTAATAACGTCGCTGGTGAGTAACATGTGATGTAAGGCGTTCCGCAGTTGATGCAACCCAATGGCAATGGCGTTGGTAAAATCACAGTTGCAATAACTTGTCCCGTTTGACGGCTGATTCTTCCTTTGATACACCTCTGTGCTTGTACATACCATGGAAAAGATAGATTTCACGTTTGAGACGACGGTCTGCAGACACGCATGACATGATAAACGTATGACCTAGCTGGGGCTGAGGTGAAGTTTCACTGCCTGAGAGCACTGGTGCATGCGTTTCACTGCTGGCGGGGCAATTGATGAACCCTGATCGCAACATTACTTGGCAGTTGCAAAGAATCCTGCCGCCCCCATTGGAGCGGAGCAGCTAATGTACCAATACACTGCCTACGTTGTATCCTGTTTGTCACTTCCCGCGGCAACTATTGCTGGTCTTACATTTTGGCTGCGGTGTTTGTGATTCAGGAACTTTGCCCGTCGCCCAGTTTCACCAGCAAGCGTATTGAACGATCTCTTGGAGTCTCAGCTCTCAGCACATGGAAAAAGTTTGGTCTCCACATGTCCCCTGCAACAAGAACCAGCAAAGAATGAAACACAGGACGCCAGGGTTATGAGTTGTGTCTTGCTTCCATCGCCGAAGTTCCGCAGCCACAGCAAAGTCGAGAAATTGAGATCGAAAAGGTCCGGGTGAACATGATATCGGGAGACCGAGAGTTGTGAAATTCAGCTTCGCTCAGCTCAAAGCGTCAACATGGCTAACCCGTGAATCAATGAATGAATGAATGAATTAGTGAGTCGATGATTCACTCGATGAATCAATGAATCAATGAACGGATGATGCGTGGACGAGTCAATGAATCAATGAATCAATGGGTGAGTGAATCAGTGAGTCAATAAATCAGCGAATCAGTGACCCAATGAATCAGCGAATCAATGAATGATTGAATTAGTGAATCGATGAACCAATCAATCCATGAATGAACGGATGAATGGACGGATGGATGAATGGATGGACGAATGGTCGGTACCTCGCTTAGGCCTTCTTTTTGGCTCGCTTAGGCCTACGTCACAGATACATGATGATATTTGCAACAGAAAGATATATTCATATATCAGACAAAGCCTAAAGGTGTTTATCCAATAGATCCTCGTATGTCAATCGTCTCCTGTACCTCTAGTGGTCCGCTCTGTCCCTTGTCGCCGGGCCCAGTGGTCCCCAGTCCCTGGTCCCACCCCTAAAGATAAACCCTAAAGGTGTGTAATCAATGGATCCTAGTATGCCTTACTTCGTCTCCTGTACCTCCAGTTGTGCCCACTGTCCCCAGCCCCATCCCTAGAGGTAAACCCTAAAGATGTGAATCCACATCCAAGATTGTCGGCCTAAGTGATCCAAAATGTTGGCCTAATAAGTGATCCTGGGACCTGGATGAATGGATGGATGGATGAGTGAGCTACTTCTTTTGCGTGCTACTTCTTCATCGAGCGGCCTCTTCGCTGAGCTACTTCTTCTCTGAGCAGTCTCTTATCTGGGCTACTTCTTCTCTGACCCTGCTCTGAGCTGCATCCCAGGCAGCTCTTCGGAAGCTTCTCCACCCCAATCCTTCTCTTCGTGCAGCTGTTAGCAGCTTCCAGCTGCAATCCCGCAAAACAGGAGCGTCGCAGCATCACTCATGCTTTATTGCGCGCAGCCGTGCCAATGTGTTTTGTCGCAGCCGGTTGCAAACCCGATTCGGCAATTTGCACTTCAAAATCACAAAAACGGTCATGTTCGGAGCACTTTTGGAAGATTAGGTCGGCAAAATGTGCACCAGACTGTAGCGAGAGCTCGATTTGCACTTCAACATGTTTAAAAAGACTGTCACGTTCGGAGCAGTTTTGGAAGATGAGGTGGGCAAAATGGGCACCAGACTGTAGCGAGAGCTCGATTTCACACAAAATTCGCAAAAAAAACATAAGTCTCTCGCTACAGTCCCCGGCGCTTTTTGTCGACAACTTTGCCAGATCGAGGCCAGCACCGGCACAAGCCACGTTACCCGAAAAACACAGGGTTTCGTGCCCGAGAGTGTTTTCACCGGTGAATTCACACCTTTTCCGAACTGTTGCGCTTCCTAACTACTTGACGATGGGTAGTTGATGTGACGATGTGGTTGACATGATGGTGGAATGCTAACCATGACAATCGTCCGTAACTCGGAAGTTTTCTAACTAAATTTCCTTTGGTAAATATATATATATATATAGATTGTGAATCCCCCGTCAAACACGAGTTCCCTGTGGTTCGAGGTGGCCTCCACCGCAAGCGACTGCTCGAGTTTCTCCATGCCGCTGCCGCCTCGCCTGCGGCCGCCAAGTGGCCCAGCAGCTCCGAGGCGATGAGGATTTTCTGACATGTCTATAATTTCTCTACTTCAGGATGACTATATTTATACATATGTACGTTTCTACATACATACATGCATACATGCCTACATGCATACCATACATGCATACATGCATACATGCATGTATGCATACATGCATACGTGCATACATCCATACAGGCATACGTCCATCCATCCATACATGCATACGCTGCATACGTATACATTTACATATACGTATACGAATACATATACATATAGATTTGCAGATACATTTACATTTACATATATACATTTACATACACACATAAATGCATATACATATACATATACATATACATGTACATATACATATCCATATGCATATACAGTATCATATACATATACATTTACATTTACATATACATATACACATGTATATGCATATGCATTTGCACATGGCTACATATACATCTACATTCACATATACAAATGCATATGCACATGCATACATGTACATATACATATACATATACATATGCAAATACATAAACGTATATACCTATACACATTTGCATATATACATATTTATATTGTATATTCGTAGCAAATACACGTACATCTACTTATATATATATATATACATATGTACAGTATACATGATATACCATGCAAGACATTCTATCACGATTTAGCATATGCAATATTTTCATGCATGTAGCTAGATGTTGGCACAGATTCTGTGTGGCTAATAGGTGACCTCTGGTGACTTCGTGGAGAGCCTGCTGCAGAGGCGGTTGGATCCATGTTTGACAGAAGATACACGAAAGATCACAAGAAATCCACCACATATCATCCACAAAATCCGCAAATATCCACAGATATCCATTCATTTGAGTCATCTCATCGCCATTTTTGCACTGATAGAAATTGATGGGTGCCCAGGCCGGTAGAACCTGAGCTGCGCCACAGCATCCCTGAGGGCGAACTGTTTCCACACCAGGCTGAGGGATTTCTGCCGAATCTGATGTGGAAAACCCACCATTTGTAGATGTTTTTCCGAGGGAAACGATGGTTTTTTCACATCTCTGTAACTGTTTTCTCCAGGGTAACTATTGAAGGTTATTAAACGTATGGGATGATGAAATGTTAGTTTATCCCAGATTCCATTGTTAACATTTGGGATGAAACTAACATTAAATTATCCATTTGGGAGAAACTAACATTTATCATGAAACTACTATCATTAATTATTGATCCTTGTTCATTAAATAGCTAGTAATGGTTAATGAATGGGTGAATAAATCTTAGTTAATCTGGGAGAGGAATGGTCATTATGGATAATCTGGTCATTTTAACATTTCTTATCCCAGATTATTGGATAAATGATGATAAATGTCAGTTAACCATTATCACTATGGCTGATCGCGGTGGAGGTGGCGACCGTAGCCTGGATGCAGCAGATCGAACGCCAAGGGCGACAAAGCCTGCAGGCGCCAGGTTTTATGGCGATTTTCGATGGGGAAAATGGAAATTTTCATGGCGAAAATGGCTGTGTTGATGAGGACAAATCAGAATTTTTGAAGAACAAGTGGAGTTTCAGCGGGAATACAACAGTTTTAGCGGGAAACGGCTGCCATGTTAACGAGAACATTGCTGTTTTAATGGGACAAATTGCTATTTTACTTGGACGATTGCCGTTTCAATCGAAAAATCACAATTTTATATAATGTGACATATCATGAAGGATGATGTCAACCCACTGGACTTGGTGCCTACCCCATTTTTGGACCAAACCAAGAAAAGAAATTGCATCGAAGATGCCATTTGAACTGGATACGTTTCAGATAGCCTCAAAATGGATGGTCTACTCACGTGTTTTGGACAGGTGGAACCCTTCCATTTCGCCGGAGCAACTTTGGGGTCTGCCTATGAGCTCCAACTTCCCATGGGTGGTGTGGTGGCACACCCGCCCGGTTCAGGCCCCGCAGTGTTTTTGCAAATTTGGTGTATTTCATGGATATCTTTCGCAGATTTTTTCGGATGCGCATCGTTGAAATGTGCCATGCAAGCCCAGTGCGTGTAGAGATTACTGGGCTTTGAAAATTACGCTAATCCTGACTATCCCACTTTTTTATCAGGCCGCCTTTGTAAGTCCATCACAGGTCAATGTTCCGTAGACCAACTGTTGCAGCTTTTGACAGATCGGAATGTGGCTGAGTCCCCACTTTCTGGTGATGAAATCATTAAGCCAATCCTGATTTTTGTTGGTCAAAACCTCGATTGCGTAGTTAAATCACCGTTTTGTGGAGGCCAAAATCTGCCTTGACCAGGCAAGACGCGCATCGTCGCCTCCCTGGCCGCGGCCAGCGAGCGCTCCGCCGCAGCCTCCCCCGGAACCGGCGCCGTCGCTGCGGCACCAGTGCCGGCGACTGAAGCTGCGCCCAGTGAGGGGCGGAGATGGAGATGGGAAGCCTGGCTGGCATCTGGGGTAGGGACCACCTCAAGAATGTTGCTGGAAATATGGTGGGATGGCCGGAAATATGGCGGGGATTGGTGTTGCAGTTGGACCTAATAGAACATAGAACTGTTTTGGAAGGTATTTGCAATCGTGGATCAACAGCTGAAGCAGCAGCTGCTAAGCAAGACTTTTTCAGTCTCGCCTTTGTGCCAACTTTCGTTGGCTTGAGCCAATTTGCAATGGCAGTCACATGTCATCCTTGCGCAGTGGCCATGCTATGTTTGGTGCATGCCACCACATGTCAACTTCTAAGTTTTAAAATCCACAGCAGCTGGTGGAATGCTTCATGAATCGCACTCCCCCCCGCAGCTTGCTGCGGAACATCAAAAGTTCAGCCAAAATGGCTTTCGTAGCCCGGCTCTCAGCAGCGCTTCTTCCAGTCTTCATTGTTTTAGGGCTCCTCCTCATTCACATTGACATCATCGGACTCCTCATCAGTCACCAGAGCCCACTCTTCGACTAGCGGTTGGTAGGATCTTGGGACTGAGGGAGCAGCAGGAGTAGCGCTCGAGCTTGAGGAGGGCACCACAGCAGCGACACCACGTTGAATGACGCCACCACCTCGATTGTAGCCCACAGACATCGGAGCTGCAGACTTGTTGTACGGGCTTGTTGGACCCGCAATTGGTTCCACCTGGAGTTCTCGGGACTCAGCACTGGACATAGTTCCTGTGCCACTAGCTGCAAGACATCCATCTAGGTACAGCTTCCCGATCAAAAGGCCAGGTTCACGGTGAGGTCTTTGACGCCTCGGAGTATGCATTTCATGGTGGCGTCCCACATGCACCTCGAGGTCATCGTCATTGGTGGACTGCTGTTGAGGCCAAGGGGGCCCAGCAGTCACTGTTGCCGGTTCCAGCTGTATGTTCAGGTTGAGGTCATCCATAGCTTCCATTTTCATCTTGAGGAACGTAAACCCCACCCACTGAAACTCAGCTCGAACCACAGGGTCATTCCATCGGTCGGCGACCAGAAAGCCTGGTCCATTTCTTCCATCCACATAGAACGCCTTTGTGATGCGCTCACCTGTGAGGAATTTGGCATCAACTGGCGCACTTCGGTGCAAGGGGTGGAACCTCTGTTTTCGGGCAGCTCTATGGATTCGCACCAGGTAGATGCTTTGGTCACATTTGGTTACGGACCATCCATCCTTTTTTCCACTCCTGCTTGGAGCGCCAAAACGCTCATCCAACCATGGACCTTGTTGAGGCATTTGGTCCAGTTGAGTGCCTCCTGCCTTTTTCATGGCCTTTTCTGCGGCCAGGCGAGCTGGAGGGAACTTTGGCATAGCCCCTATGTAAGGGTCTTGTCGTGCTCGAGAACCATCCGAGCTGGCAGCAGTTGAGGTACCCTGCAAAGCGGCAGCACACTGCAGCATCATTGGCGGCGCCTTTCGGCGTACAGCAGCAGCAGCGGGCACCGCAGCAGCTTCGCCTGTCGTCTGCGGCGGCAGCGGCGGCGCAGGTTTTGACATCTTTGGGGCCATGGCAGCTAAACGCACGGCCGGAACTTTTGGGCAGCCCGTAGGGCAGTGGTGGGTATTAGCCAACGGTGGCTGCAACAGTTTAGCAACATGTTCAGAGTCACCACCAACGGACTCAAAACTGTTGTGCGCCATGCCGCAGCTGTTTCCTGCCACAAAATCCCCAAAACCAGGACCTTCTTCAGGGTTACTGTCCCAAAAATCCCTTTCACTTTCATAGGTTCGGTGAGCCCAATTACCATTTTCAGGGGTTCTATCCCAAACCTTCCCAAAACTGTTTTCTCCAGGTTCATCTTCCCTTGGAGATCTCACACATTTTTTGGTTCTTATTTGAGGGTTTATGCCTCCAGGTTCATTTTCCCTTGGAGGTTTTTCTTTGGCCGGTTCATCTCCCCTGGCATCTTTTTCGCTTTTGAGGCCAATGGCTCTTGATGGTTTTTCCACCTCCCTCCCATCTAGACAGATCCCATTGGATCGGCCTTCATTTGAAGGCGATGGCTGCCAGTTGCACGCCAGCCATCCAGCGCAGGCAGCAGCAGCAGTAGCACAGGCCAGCCGCACGTCAGCTCGCCCAGCTGCCGTAGAAGCCACAGCCAGTGCAGCCATAGCTACGATCACCTTCACCTTGGTCACCACATCATCAGATCCCTTAGTTTCATCAGGTCCTGAAGTGGCGGTTGTTTTGGAAGACCCTTTGGAGGTTTTTTGAGGTGTGTTTTCGGGGTCATATTTGGGGATTGACGCATCAACATGAAACCCAAGGAAATGCCAGAACTTAACCCAATCCCTCAACAACGTGATTGGTTTGGTGAGCATGTCAGCGGGAAGGTCAACTCCCCTTTGGTGTCTGACTTTCCATGTTTGGGGGTCACTTTTCAACAACTCACGCAAGCAAGACGAACGAAGCCTCAAATGGCGTGTTCTCCATCCACCATCAGGGTTCATAAGTATGCTAAGTGCACTTGAATTGTCCCCATAAATAACCTTTTCAAACCCATCAAACCATCACCCGTGTTGCATGAACCATGGATAACCTTCAATAGGGCTTCAGCAGATTTCAACATTGTTGTGGCTTCGCAGTATCCAACCAATTCGGATTCCGCTGTGCTCATGGTGTGAAATGCCTGCCGAATTGCCTCCCACTGAATTGGAGATCCTGCAGCACATAGAATGATGCCCTGGTGACTGCGGTCACCTTGAGGAGCGAAGCTGATATCGGCGAAAGCCTCAATGAGCTTCTCATGCCTCGGTACCTGAAGTGTGCCATGCGCACCGTGGTCCTTGTGGCAAGGGCGGTACAGGAGGCAAGTTTCTGGGGTGTTACACAAAAACCCTAGCACGTGTTGTCCCAACTGTTGGACCCACCTTGGTTTTCTAGTAACATTTCTTCCCATGACACTTACAGCATAGGCTATGTCAGGCCTACTTCTCACAGAAAGCCAAAGCAGTTCACCTGTGATTGCTTGGGCTGCACGGACGTCAGGTGTTGTGATATCCGTTTCATCCGTTTCTGAACTGTCCAGTTTTGGCATGGGGCATGACTTTGGGGAAACATGTTCATGACGTTTCAACAACTCAGCAGTGTAAGACTTTTGTCCTACCATCAGACTCACCCCATCATCATGTCTTTTCAACTCAAAACCACAAAACCGGATCCATTCATTTTTGTCAACAGTTTCGACATCGGAACATTTCCATTCCTGTTTCAACCGGTCAAAAAAGGAGTTTCGAACATTGTCATTTGCAAGAGCCATGATGTCGTCCACATAAACAGTAACATGACCTTCACATGTTGGTTCGGCATCCCCATGACCATGCTTCATGATTTTCCACAAGTTCCCTTCTTCAGTTCTTTTGAGGGAAAAGTCACAACCATCCATCTTCCATGTGAACCCACTCATGACCTGATCCCTGTGCACGGCCCAATGTGCCGGGCTTGACGTGAACCCATATAAAGCATTATGAACTCTCCACCGTTCAGAAGGGCTGCAAACTTTGGCTTCCACAAGTATTTTTGGGGGCACAACAATCACCTCCCGGGCATCTTGCGGTTTCGGCCGAGGAGCAAGGAGAAATGCTGTGCGAATGTCGGTAACGCCAGCACCCCATCCCATCTGCACGGAGTGAGCCAAGGTAGCTCTGATCAGAATGCCATCAGCGCCAGAAGCGTAGAGGTTGCCCGGAGCAGGATCCAAGTCACTCTGCAGCAGGTTTCCACAAACTACTGCCCTACATTTCTTTTTTCCACCATTTGGACCCGCTTTTCGAACAGTCACAAGTTTTCCAGGAACAAACTCAACCGCTTCTTGGTTCAACATGGAAAGGTCAACAGGTTCAATGGCCTTTGTTTCATGGACCAAACTGTTGTATTCTTTCACCATCGCATCTTTCCATTCCCCAAGTTCATTTCTGACTTCATTCAAAGGGACCGTGGTTGTTTGCAAGACCTCCCCCGGATTCATGGCCAAGACATCATCAGTTTGAAGGCCACACATTTTAACAACCCGTTTATTTTGGGCATCCCGGACCAGGAACAAGTCATTTTCCAACCGTTCTTTTTCCCCTTGAAGCCATTGGATATCAGCCCCACAAACTTCCCCAAGAGATTTCGTGGTAGGAACAACATCCAACAGATCTTGCAGTGAACTGGAAATGGTTTGATGTTTCCAACCCAAACATTTTTCCAAACAATCCAAAGATTCCAACTTGGCAACAACCCTTGATTTCGACCCCAAACCAAAATTTTCAGGGTTTTTTGGGTGGCTATCTCCCCCGGACCCAGCTTCAACATTCAACCCCTTAACAAACCGTGGTGCCTCCCTAAGGTTTTCTTGGTCGATTTCATCAAAGATCCCCAACATTTCATCCCCATTATCCCCATGTTCACCATCAACCTCAAGAACAACTTCATTTCGGGGTTCATTTTCAGGGATTTTTTCAAGTTGAGAATCCAAAACCAAAGAGGACTCCCCCCCGCGATCCAATCGCGGCAGTGGCGGCAGTTTCATGGGTGCTGGTCCTGGAGGTGGCTGCTTATGCCAAAGACGCAAGTGAGGTTTGCCAGGCCGCAGGTCTTCTTCAAGTTGCAGTTGGGCTTGATCGCCCAGTGGATCTGGCAGTATGGCCTCACGAGCATGCAAAACATGTTGGTCCTTAGTCGTTCGGACAAGCCAACCTGAAGTCATGTCAGGGCTTGGACACAACAAACGTGTTTCAACAAAAGGTTGAGCCAACAAATTCCCTTTATCATGCCATCTTTTTCTTTTGACCAAAACCAGGGAATTGTACGGCAACATTTTTTGAACAGGGGAACCAAGGAGCTCCATCTGTTGCCTTAGTCGTTCCTCAGTGGCAAATCGCATGGCCTGTGGCCAATGTGTGTTGTCCTGACCTGCCATGTGAAGCAACAGCCTGGTACGCCTTTTAAGTTGGTTCACCTCGGCCTCACAATGGCCGTTACTTTGGGGGTCATCACCAGCTGTGAACGTGTGCATCATGTTTCTTTGTGCAACCCATGACCTAAACTTTCGAGCCAACAGTTCTTTGGCCCTGTCAGAATGAATGCGTGTGACACAGACACCCATGTATCTCATTCTAGTCACCAAAGCATCCATCGCAGGCATCACATGTTTCACGTTTCTTGACTCGACAGGTTCCATGAGTGTGACATGACGAACTTTCACAGGTTGAGAAAGTTCTCCAACAGCTTTCTCAAAACTTTTTGACTCCCATTCTTTCAACTCATCATCACCCATGATTGAAGGTTCATAGTCAGTTTCGTTTCCGTCACCTCCATCATGGTCCTTCACATTTTCACCATCATCACCTTCAGGGTTTTCCTCTGTTTTTTCGTCCCCCTGAAGGGAATATTCCTTTTCATCAAGTCCCTCCCCCCAACATGCATCCACAGTTTCCATTGGTTGCGGAGCATCGGAAGACACATCGCCAGCAACCAGCGGCTTTTCGGCAGCTGACGTTTCGTCCCCCGGAGGAGAGTCAAACACTGGAACAAGGGCTGTAGCAACCAAACCATATCTCACAACTCTTTTGGTAGCAAGGTCACGTGCTTTGGGGAGGTTCACCAAATCAACAGACATGGTCCAAGCAGAACTCCCAGCGTGTTCCCTACGTCGGTGTGGTTTTGACCCAGCCATGTTAAGTATGCATGTCCTACAATCTCGTCGGTATGGTTGATGTCCTTGATTGATATGTTGTTTCCACTGATCCAACCCCAAACTTTTGGACAATTTTGGTGGTGAGATCCCATACCATTCAACCAAAACCAACAAAGACGTTTTGATGGCAGCCCTCAACCCTGGTGCCCAAAGAGACCAAGAGGCAGTTTGGTTCAACCTTTCATCCAAGTTCACCGCCAAATGTCGTTCACGTTCACCAGAGCGACAGCCATCTAGTTCTTTCATGTCAGGGAGATTGGTCATACATGTTGTGGGTTTTTTCCGAGTATGCCCAAACGCACCCTGGTCAAAACTGATCAACTCCATTCCATTTGGTTGGAAAGCTTCAAGAAAATCCCTTGTTTCATCCCAAGCCCAAAAACTCGCAGACTCATCCCCTTCACCATTTTGGAGGTAAGTTTTGGGGTCTTGAGGGGATTCCAACATAAATCCAACCCTATTCGCAACATGTTTCATGTGGGGCCATCTTGAACCATCCCATGACTCGTGAGCATGCATGTATAACCCCAACTGTTTCAGGTACAGCGCAGTGTCACTGTCCGTTTTTTGTTGTTGGGATTCATTGAGGTGTTCAAACCCAAACCTTTCAGGACCATTTCTTGAACGCAACCTTGGTGGTCCTGGTGTTTTCTCCAACAATCTGCTCACAGTACGACATGGTGGTCCCCCCAACACAGCTACGACACGACCAGATGCAGCAAGTCGCCAAAGGTAGGCCCAAGTTGCAGCATCGTGGACATTCTGACCATCTCGAACGTCCAAGGTGATCATTTCAACGTCAGCAGGCCAACCAAGACTCCAATCCTTAGATGCTTCACCGGCATACAAGTGGATGACAATCGCCTTAGCTTGGGCATGTCGACGCCTTTGGGCACGATTCCAAGGCAAGTGAACCCCTGGAGTGTCAACCCCTTGACCCTTCATGTATCTCCAAATTCTTTTGGGAACATTCGGAAACCTTTGTGACCACCATTCATGCGCAGTCTCAGACACGGTTTCAGGACTTTCAGAAGGGATTCTTTTGGCTAACTCCAAAGATTCAATGTCATGAATCAACCCTAACGCATGTTTTTCAGACACAACAGGACACCCATTTCGCAACCAACACTGAATGGTTCCTCTTGAGGGGTGTTTGATTTCACAACCATGGGTACTCCATTTGATGACAAAACCAAGGTCAATTAATCCCCTTAATGGCACAATGGGTTCAACCGCATGTTCAGTGAGAATGGTCCCCGTCAAAGCATGTTGTTTCAGTTCAACCGACCCATGTGCTAACTCCACAACAACAGGATCAGCTTCAGCCAGTTCTTTGAGGGGTTCCCCTTCTCAAAGCGTTTGTTGCCCCACCATCCAAGAGACCTGTGGGTCCATCAGGAGCATTCACCCTTTTGATTTTGACAGCTTTGGCAACCGGTTTAAGGGTTTTCAGGAGGGTAGTGGCTTCACTCAACAGCCCAGTGACCCTTTCAGGAGTACTTTCTCCCCCGTCCCCAGTTTCCGGCCCAGTCCTGTACGCAGTTTCAGATCCAAGAGGCTTCTCTGCTGCAGCAACATCCCCAGTAGTTTTTTCAGGGCTACTATGTTCCCCAATACCCTTCCCATACTTTTCGGGGGTCCCTTTTCCACTTGGTTTTGACACCTTGGCAACCCTCTTTTTGGTGGGATCATGTTTGGGGTCCGACCCTGTATTCTTCAAAGGACAGTCACGTTTTGAATGACCCACAGCAGAACAGTTGAAACATCGGTTACTTTGGGGGTCCAAATTCGCATGACCAAAAGAACATTGATCACCCCTGGTACACCCCTTTTCACTCATCCAATACCTACAAGGCTTTCTTTTTGAGTTCGGAAACCTCGGATCCGATTCATTTTGAGGTTTTGGGGAACTTTGAGGATTTTGAGGGATCCCAGGAGGCAATGGCACACCCAAAGCAGCAGCCCTCACAGCCGAAGTTGCCTTCGCAGGCGCGCTCAAAGTCAGCTCTTCAGCTTCAGCTTGCAGATGCTCGGAGTAGCTCAGGATCGTCTCTGCTGTTGGCAACTGATCCACATTCAACTGCTGGCGGATCATGTTGAGACGATATGCCACTTGTGGGGATTTTCCACTCAAAACATCAGTACATTTGTTCAAAGCCCCTAGCAAAACCAAACCATCAGGCAACGTGACATGGAGTTCCCTGGCCCTTTGAACAAACCGTCGCCAGGTTCGAATCCAGTCCAAAACTTCATGAACATTGGAACCACATTTGGAATCCGTAATGTTCTGCAACAACTTCGTGCGCTCAGTAGCACCTCCCGGTTGGAAGGTGATGCACAGCTTGTACAACACTTGGTCAGTGGTCAGTTTGCGAGCTGAAATCACTTCTTCTTTGATTGGGTCAGGAATGGCTCCCAAAAGCATAGCTAAGGCCCTTCTTTCCGTTCGAGGCCACAATTGAACCCTAGGATCCACTTGTGGACGAAGCCTAAGCCTTTCAATTGGTCCAACATTCAACCAATCCCTGTAACATTGATCAACAGCTCCCCTGACCATAGTCCACCAATCCCCCGACGAGTAAGACAAGTCACCCATGAGAGAATCGATGATGCTGAGCCAATCACCAAATTGCAGAGCAGTGGCATCCATTGACAACTTCGGAAGCTCCACCGTCCTGAGATTTTCAGATGGATTTTCACCACCTGAGTTTTGCAAGTTTCCTGCCACAGACGCAGGAAAAGGTGGCAGTGCAGGAGGGAATTGAGGTGTTACCGACCCTAACCCACATACACTATTCAACATTCTTGGCGGCGATGGTGGTGGAGGTCCAGGTGGTGGCCTAGGCACAAATGGTTCAACAACATTTGACACAGTTGGCACAACAACTTCAGGTGCAACCCTCGTGAACGTCACAGCCTTTTCAGGTACAACCCTCACATTTGGATCATGAACCAATTGGGATTCAACCACATCATGAGATTTGGGGGCAACATGTTCCTGGAAATCCACTGCCGAAACATATGAACTTTGGGAACCATGCGACCCTTTTTCGTTCTCATGTTTTTCAACCCTTGACTCCTTAGCACTCATCCCCATATTCAACAAACCCTGCCGAAACTTTTCTTCAGCATCTCTCAAACAACGCAATCGGAACAGTTCAATTGGATCCATTTCAACATCAACACTTTCCCTTTGTCCCACATGAACTTTTTGGGGTGTCGACGCATTTGAACCCGGCTGCAAACCCAAGGCACTCACATCGTACCCAGGCCCGAATGCTTCTCGAACAGCTTCACGCTGCTGAGTTTCGCTCCAGAAGGGATTCACAACACTCCCCATTTGGTCTGGAACCGCAACAACATTTTCGGTGCCCTGAGGCGCCACAACAACGGCTCCGGAGCCCTGAGGCCCATCACCTATGTAAAACCTTTGAACCCCTGAACCCTTCACATTGGGGCCCTGAGGCATGGTTTCACTCACAACACCCGAACCCTTTCCAGTGGGGCCCGGTGACACATTTTGACAACCCTCAGAACCCCTCACATGTGAGCCCTGAGACACATTTTCACAACCAAAACCCCTCGTGCGTGAGTCTTGGGACACAGTTTCACAACCCTCAGAACCCCTCACATGTGAGCCCTGAGACACATTTTCACAAACAGAACTCCTCATTCGTGAGCCCTGCGACACAGTTTCACAAACAGAACCCCTCATTCGTGAGTCCTGCGACACATTTTCAACACCCTCAGAACCCCTCACACGTGAGCTCTGCACATCCCGGTTTGAGTGTTGTGCTTCTGCGGCAACAGTTTTTCTGGGTTCCCTTCTGCCAGACTCAGAGCTAGACCCCTTTCCTTTACCAGCACCATCTCTAGGACTATGTTCATTCACAATCCCCTGCGCTGATTCGGTGGTAGTTCCAGTCCCCTCATTTGGTGGGTTCCGAGTTTGTTGCTCTGTCACAACGACCCTTTTGACACCAGGTGTGTTTTCAACGTTTTGTTTCACCTCGAGGTTTTGCATTCCCTTAGCTCTCTCAACTAACATGGGTGGCTGACCAGGGGAAAAAGACAACGGAGGTCCTACAGGTCCCAAAGCATCCAACATACCCCCACTATTCAGTTCAGTGGTGTTAGGTTCAACAGTCAAAGCTCCAACAGACCCACCAGTTCCAGACCCAGCAGCTTCTTCCAACATCTCCTCCATCAGGTCGTCTGCGCAGCTGGCAGCATTCGCAGCGCTAACAGCGGCAGCAGCTCTTCGCTGGAGAGAAGACTCACGACGACTGGCAAGCTCCATGTCAGCTGAGATCCTTTGGGCTCATAACCCGTGGATCAACAACTGAAGCAGCAGCTGCTAGGCAAGACCTTTTTCGTCTCGCCCTTGAGCCAACTTTCGTTGGCTTGAGCCATTTTGCAATGGCAGTCACATGTCATCCTTGCGCAGTGGCCATGCTATGTTTGGTGCATGCCACCACATGTCAACTTCTAAGTTTTAAAATCCACAGCAGCTGGTGGAATGCTTCATGAATCGCAGTTGTAAATGGTGGGATTGTTTACTATTGCTTTACTAACATTACTTTGAAAGCAACAAAAGACTGACCAACAACGAAAAAAACATCAGGAAAGTGCAGCCACAAGGCCAACTCATGGCTTTCCAGTTCGTCACTGCAGCCCATCCATTGGCATCCCTTAGATGCCCTTGGACATGGCCGTGGCTGCCAAGGACATCTACTGAGATGCGCCTTGTGGAAGAGTCATGTGGCTGAGCTGAGGGGCACGAGCTTGGGCACAGTTGAGGTTACAAATTGGTATAACCACGGGAATTTAAAGCCCCATAAGTTGGGATATAACCCCTATAAGTATAATGGTTATGTATCCACTTAGACCAGTTTTAGTGGGATACAAAATTCCCGTCTCACATATTGGAATGACGGCAAGGTTGTGCCTATGGATATCAAGCATAGAACATGGAATTGTTTGTTAATTATTCGACTGGGAAAATCTGGAACTCAATATGAAGTAGCAGCTGCTATAACATGGTTTGCCCTGTGGCACAAACTAGTATGCTGGAAAGTCGCAATGAGAGAGGAGCTTCCTCTACAAGACTCTACATCCCATATCAAAAAAGAATCAAAACTCAAAACACGATTTCCCAGCTACCCAGTAGCCAGGTTTGTTTATCAAATGGCAAATTCCCGGTGTCTGCTTATAGATCTTATAGATAGTTTTCAACAACAAAAGAAAAGCATTTCCCGTGTCAGGTGAGGGTAAACCAATAGCTACCATGTGGTTGGGAAAGTCTGAATTCTAGCTCCAACTGAATCCGACTCGTAGCTCCAACTGGCCCTCCATGAAATGTGGATTCCCATATGGCTCCTTAGCTCCTTAAGCACCGGGATAGATAGGGTGTACCCCAACTCCAAGTATCTCCAAGTGAAATGTCAGGCTATGTGAGGCTTAACTTACCGCTGGCACCACTGGCACCTCCAAGTGATGCGACCAAAATCTCTGCTGGCAGCGCTGGTGTGGACACGCTCGCACTTCTGCTTGGCCAAGTCCCAGTTCACCTCGGATGGGATCAGCGCCCGCAGATGGTTTGGTATTGGATCATCCATGTGGAGGCCCACATGGGGTGTATTTGACATTAGGCGGGGACTTATTCTATTTGTCTAGCATTGTCTAGCTTTCTTGCTGATTTGGTGGCAAGTTATATATCTCTGTGGTTTTTGCCTCGATATGTTCCGGTTCCTCTCAGTCCGATGACAACACACCAAGCCAGCCCTCCTGACTGCGCAGTCCAAGTCACAGCTCAAGAGCAGCTCGTATCGCCCCACCTTAGGAAGCCAGCTTAGGCTGGAGGGTAGCAAGCAAGTCATGGAACTTCCATCAGAAGACACCCTGGAGCCCTTCAAGCAAGTCATGGAAAGTCATGGAGCCCTTCAAGCAAGACACGCCCTCCAAACATAAACATCATGACCATCATGAATCATGACCTTGTAAAATCATATAAAATCATAATCGTCAAGAAAATCCACGATGAATTTTCCAGCCATTCTGCTAAACCCCAGCCTCGAGTTGGAAGGACGCCCGGCTGACGCCCATGGCACCGTCCACCAGTCCTGAAGTCACCCCCGATGGGACCCGATGGATCAACCGGGTTCATTGATCGTTGCAAAAAGTGGCAGCCACCAAAGTATCCAAAGTCAGGAAGATTGAAGGATACAGTCAAGAATTCAAGAATCCTCATTGTAGCGAGGGCTAAATGCATCTAATATATCTATATCAACAAGATTCAACAAGTAAACAAGCAATGGTAGAGCTGACCAGCTGGACCAGCTGGCTGCCCCTCCTGCACCCGACACATGCCGCGCGCGGGCCACCAATCGAGGTGCCAGCTCCTGATCGAGGGATCCTAGTCATGGATGAAAAATCCTCAGGATCAACAAACCACCGAAAATTGCAGTCCACATACCAACCCCAATGCAATTCATCAAGGGTTTTCCGACAGCCTTAAACTTCAAACTGTCCAGCTCTTGAAGGAAACTGAATTCTTTGGGTCCTAATTTTTGAGCTCCAAGGTTGGGTTTCAGCGAAGTGATCTCAGCTCGAAGCTGCTCAAATTTGCTTCGTTCCTTGAGCCGTGATATGAACTAAACCCGATCTGAATCAAATGTGCCCACCCGAAAATGCCTAGCTATGCCTAGCTATATCAATGGCTTAATCCAAACGCTGTAAGATACATTGAACAGCTTCAAGTCCCCCCCTAATGGTGGGTCACCGAGCAATGAAAATCATTGACCCCCCCAAAAGATTAGATGATTTACCAAGTGGATCGTTCATTGAGCAATTTAAAGGGATTGATCCCCAAAAAATGACCGGTTCCAGCTGGCCCCTGGGCCTGCAAGCCGTGGGGGTCCCAGTTGAGCCACAAGCCGCGCGCGCTCTCAGGCGCCGAGGGCTCGGAGTGATCCTCTTTTGGTAGGGGGAAGATCTAGGCTTTCAAGATGAAGTCGTCTTTTTGGATCGTGTTGGCTGGGGGTTAATTCCAAGAATATGTTATTAAATGTATTATATATATATAATTTCACATACACACACACACACATATATATATATATGTGTGTGTGTATGTATATATCAGAGAAAAACATCCGAAGAAGATGATGCCGAAAGTAGTCTCCAGTAAACACTGCTACTTTACAAAATCCAGCATTTTTCGATCATTTCCGAACGGGAAAGCCATAGATTTACACCCAGCCTCCAACTTCAGGACCACCGGCAGGTCGAAGCAGCCCACAGCGCTAGCGGTGGCACAGTGCCGTGTCTCGCTGCTGGTGCTCTGGCAGGGCATCGTACTGGCGTCCACACGCTCCACTGGTACGGCAGGCCATTGGGCCACCTGCAGGGAGAGGATATGCTGAGCTCGGTTTAAAATATTTATGACTACGTTAGAATGGTTTAGGAGATGTTATTGTAGAATACTGTAGCATAGTTTAGAATATTCTAGGATAGTTTAGGATATGGTAAGGTGATTTTAAGATATGTTAAGATATTTTCCGATATTTCAGGATGTTCCAGGAAATGTTAGGTCTGTCCAGTCGCCCACGAGTGGTGGAAAATGATAATTACCATGAAATTCATGGCTGAAGACAGCTGAAATGTATCATGGATGGACGATGAAGTTGGTTAAGACTTTGGGATGCTGGCCATCAAATATCTTGAAAAAATCTTGGGCATTCACCTACCAACCCACGGTTTACTTCCGATAATTAAACACGGCTTGCCGGAAAATCCCATATTTAAAAAAAAAAAAAATCAAATAAAAACCTCCGTTTGGGGATTTCTCAGCCATGTTTGATGAAACCGCAGGGTACTTATCGTTGTTTCATGTTGTTTCCGGGGTGTTTCTGAGCAGGACCAGTGGGGATCATCGTGCCATGGGATGCCATCAGGTCACTGCATCCACCGAAGCCGCCACGTTTTGCACTTCCGCATCTGCCATCGCCCGCACGATGTGCAACGGATCGGTACCTACGTCTTTCACCTGGCACCATCGCCGGGGACCCGCCCTACGTTAATCGACTGAGACTCTATGACCAAAGTCAAACGACTTATATATCTTTATTTTACTACAGTAGCGATGCCGAAACCAGGGGTAAAGTGAATCAATCGGATTTGTTGGGTTTGTACAACGTTTTGTGTAATGCTTGAGTGATGCAGTAGTTTCTAATCCTGCGGCATGGCTCACCAACTTTGAGTATAAAGGGAATGAAGGTAACCTTGATGCCCTCAAGGATGTCAAACCATGGCGCCCCCTGGTGAACATCTCAATGAACTGACCGAAAGAGAAATGAATCAATGAAATGTTCACGAACCCAAAATGGAGGTACCGTACTATATAAAGCCATATTCTTGGGGCATATCCCCTGACATAGACCCTACATATGGTAGGTACCTCAATTTAGGTTCCTGAAATGTTCTCAAAAAAAAAGTGACAGCTGCTTTCTTGAAAGCAAAGGGCGCCTACTTTCAACCAAGCAAGCAGTACTGTAATTACAGCAACCACTTTGCAAAGAGAAGGATATCTCTGCCATCATCTGCCCATTTTGGGGATTGGCGAAAGATTTACGGCATAATATTCATATAATCATATATAATCCATTAAATCATCCGATATATGCACATCATGTCAAACATGTCAAACCACGGAAAATGCCCCATCTGCTACCACAAAGCACCTCCCAGATCGTCTCGGTTTGCGCATCCACGCCGGAATCGGCGCATCGACGTTTCAGCTCCTCTCCGTCCACAGGAATTCCACCTGCGGCATCTGGATGATCCAGGATGATCATTGATCCATGTCCATATGGGAAGTTCAATTTGGGGGATCCCCAAAACATCCCAAAACCATGGCTTTCAATGCGAAAATTGTCTAATGACTTGGATGATTTAGGGCTACCCCTGAGGAAACATCAATACATTCAATAACTACAGAGATCATCTGTCCTGCATCATCTCTCCATCTCGCTCTCGCTCTCTCTCTCTCTCTCTCTCTCTTGGCAATGGCCTCGCACCTGCATCCATCGTCCATATCCTACACTGACTAATGAGTAAGTTCTATTATATATAGGCACGCGAGTGGGTTGCCACCCCTGTATCCATGTGCATAAGCTAAAAACCGCAGAAAGTACATGAAAGTACTATATGAAACTGCTTCTCCAGTGTATTCTTGTGTTTTTATTTATCATTTTTTGTGTGGTTATTCATGTTGCCAACATTGTGATGTCTAGGTGATGATATCTATCTATATCTATATCTATAATATGTATATGTAGGCTATATGATATATGTTTCAAGGATAAAGACCTTGTCGTTCCAAGGAGGCGAACAATGTTTGACACGTTCATGCATCACATGGAATCAAGCATTGCCTCGCGGACATATGTTGAGTATGTCCATATAAGGCAAGCAATCCCTGATCATGTTCACTTGTGTAATCTTAGTCAAGTGGAAAACAGGGGGCTGTAACCCAGACACTTACCTAATTATATGGAGGTGTCCGAGAATGGTAGTACCCCTAAATCCTCCATTTATAGATTGATTTTCCATTATAAACTATAAACAATCCATTTTGGGGTATCCCCATTGCTACCATCCATATGCAAATCTAAGCCCAACAGCCTCCTTGCAGCCAGGAATCAATGGCCCATGGCCAGTGGCATTGAGAGACCAGCAGAGCGGTGGTATGACAACACCGAAACCCAGAAATGGCCAGGTGGAATGCCCTCCAACCTGCGACGGCACACCCTGGACGGCAGGAGTTGCCTCTAAATTATCCCCTAGCGAAGTATTGGATGGTCAGAAGCCAGTCTATACCTAACTACTAAAAAATTATGACCTAATCTACTGATATAGAAAATTAGGTCATTACCATATATACTAATATAAAAAATTAGGTCATTATCTCATCCAATCTCTGATATATAATAACCTAATCTACTCTACCGGCAATCTCACCTACTCGCTTTGCCAAAATCCGACATATCTTCGGTTCAGACATTTGGATGCCTAGTGGGCTCGACAGGCAGCAGTTTGGAAGCACCCTGCTAGGCAGGCTTAGTCAGTCTTATTCACCACGGCTCTTACGCAGCAGTTTGGGGGTACCACAGGAACTCCCCTTCTGTGATTTGGCACCATTATGGGGCTAATACCTTATCTACCTGGCTGAAAAAAAAGAAAAACAACACATCTAATAGATGATTCTACTCTATATCACTCTAACATACTCCAACAAGAATTGTGACCTTCGGGTTTGCCATGTTTGATGGAGGGTGCAATCAAATTCTCTGATCATCTACTGAACTCCGGCGAATCATAAAGGCGAGTGCCTTTCCAAAAAACCCTTGCAAATGTTGAAAATCACCAAAATGCTATATATATATATATATTTGTGTGTGATTCTTGTTTAAACAGAAAAACTCGCTAACCTGAAAGAAAAAAATCCTCTTTTGCGATACTTAGAGAGGTTATATATATATATACACACATCATATGATATATACATTTATATATATATACACATCATTAAATGATATGATATATAATATTATATAATATAATTACATACCCCCTAGTATTCCCATCCACCAAAAACGCAGCGAAGCGGCCGCAAGCCACTGCTCTCCTCCAAAGGCTCAGGGCGGCCGGGCAGCATCTCAATGCCTTGGTCGAGGAACAGCCGATCTTTTTTGAACTGGGTCTAAAGGGAGTTGATGTTTCGGAAAAAATCGAAATTCACTCGGAAATCCATGGATTTAAAATGATTTTAAGATATTCTAAGATTTATGTAAGATGACTGAAGAATATGTTTTAATATTTTAAGAATACGTATTCTTTATTTTTTTATATCATTCTGAAAGCAAATGATGGTGGAGTTGATATTCCTGAAGAATAGTTTCTCAAAACAATTAGTCCCTCATTTGTGGATAGTTTCCGAAGAAAACTTTCACGTTTACATACTGGGAATTGTCGCAAAATTCCGAAATAAGTTTGCTTTAAGGTCTGGTTCTCCATCTGTGTAGCCATCATGCGGTGCAAATTGTGAGAATCCCCACATCAAAAGTAAGTCATTTCTTGGAGAACGTCCTGTAAATCATCATGTGGGGTACTTGAAGAACCCCAAACAACTTTGATGAGAAAAACATAGAAAAACCATAGGGTTGTGGAATTTCCCCTTAAAAACAATCCAATGATGCACCTAATTCGATTGGCTGATTCATTTCAACTAATTCGAGATGGTAATTTACCCCAACCTTTGGGATATCTGGGGACGATACTGGGAAACTACCAAGCCGATGCCAAGCCGATCTGCGCAGGAGGTTTTTTCGGTCGAAGCTGTGAAATACCACGAACCAGGCTTCACACAGCACCTGAAGCCATGATGGAACTGATGGGGAGCTTGGTCATTTCTTGATCCCCTGCGTTGCCACGAAAGAGGGGTCAAATCGAAGCATGTGGCGTTCTCGGGCATCTGATGCCTGCCCCTTTAGGAGATGCATCCCAGGAATAAGTGGGCATTCACCAAAAACTTAAAATATGGAATATCCATGCTATCCCCATTTACATCCATTTACATATGGGTCATTATGGGTTGTAAACGACTTATGAAGTGGGATACACATCCAAGTGGGCCGTGAATAATACCTTCATCCTGGCCCATCTCATTCTACTGCATGATAAGAAAAAGTTGTTCCACTTATTGATTAGCTCATAATCCCGATAAACTAGGTAAAAAAAGGATAACTACACCCAAAATTAACAAATGGAGAGATGAAAATTATCAACTGTTCTTGGTGTGACCCACTCATCCAGCCAGTTCTCACTCCCATCCAAAAAAAGTGCCTCTTCCATCCCTGACCAAGTCAGTCGCAAGCTCTGGGTGACCACATCCAGGTCCTTAGGAACGGAAATGGGGAGTTCAAAATGAAAAATGGTGGAATGATGTGGGTTAAGAGTGGTTAAGATGGTTAAAACATTTAAAACGGATTGATGTGGGTCAACATGGACTACGGTTAGGCTATAGCAGTCGGGACATGGGGATAGCATTCGTCAACATGGATGCAACCAGAAAGCGTTGCAACAGAACCAAGCAAGAAGGATATTTGACCAACAGCAAAGACAGAAAGTGACATCAAAGTAATTCGTGCAAAAAAAATAGCTCGGAATCGCTCATATCGGCATTGATCTCATTAATTAGAGTCCTTTATGTACGTTTATGTGTATGTGTACATTATGTATATACACATGTGCGCATACATAAATATAAATATATACATTTACATTTGCATATGCAAATAAATATACATATAAATATACATATAATTACATGGACATAGACATAGACATTTTCATATACATATATACATATGCATATATATATATATATATAATTATATATATATTATATTATAGTAAAAAAAATGTAAGAAGATCTGTTTATCGCTAAAAACTGAACCATCAATCACCCACCCTTCACGTTTAGGGCTCCGCGATGAGGTCTGAAACCTTGAGCTTCTGCGATTTTCGGCGAAAGCGGTACTGCAACCAGTGCCCCACGATCCACAGAATGCAGATGCCTCTGGTGGGGAAATGGGGACAATATGGGTTGATATGGGGTGTGGGTATAGATTCTCCTGCAAAAATTGGTGTGCCAAAAAAGTTGCAATTTCCATAGGGACATGACGTGGTGATAGGAAAATGATTTGAGGAAAGAGGAGCTATAGGAGGGCTCGGGCAAGCATGGCTTGGACACTTCCTTGATGCTGATGAGCGTCATCCATTAGATAGTTACGTGATGTTACGTGCATGATTTGAATAGACATGCAGGCACATGTATATACATAATTATACACAATATGCATATTGTTTTAAAAAGTGTATGTATATAAGTAGTATAATATACTTGTTATGTATATATTGAGGACAGCAAGGCCGCAAACACTATATATCATGATATTGTACTAAACCTGACCACAAATATCTCCACCCACCCATGCATCCCAAGCTCTTGTATATTCAGTCCTGTTTCCACCAGGGCACCATGCGCCAACACCGTGAAGCCGTGCAACGCCACACGCCCCACATCCAGCTCTGACACCAGACCCAGGTCGATGCGGCGAAGCAGCAGTAAGATGGCCAGAACCAGCTGGGGGAGGTGGCAATAAAGCAGGAAACGGCTGCCTCAGCGGACCAGCCTGCCCTATCTATTGCGACAAGGTGGGTGGTTCTTTTGTACAGAATTGATCCAAGCGATTCGTGACTGGATCATATACTGGCGGAATGCTTTTGTGAGTGTTGTTGTTCATAGGTGGTTTATTTTGTAAAAAAATGCAATACAATAACATACTGTACATCTATCATGAATAATTTGGCCAACATAAATTGTCCATGTAGCTCCGTCAAAAGGCGATCCGTCCTTTTGGCATAGGGGTAACCTGTCCGAACCAAATGCGAATCATTGAAGCCCAAACTCAGGTTGTCTTGCAATGGTTGGTACATGTTTGGGCGCCCAGTGGTGGTCACCAGGCCAAGGTGCTCCGCCACAAGTCACCCATCCGAGGAATGGGCGACAGCTGGCTACACATCGGGCACTTCGCAGCACACCTTGGAGCAAATCACAAGGCCCCAAGGCAAAGGCAGGAGAGACGTCCCCAGACAGACGACTTTTTTTTCACGTGGTGGCTTTTGCACAGAGAAGGATTTACGCAGAGTAATTAACCTTTACACAGACAAACCTTGCCACGGACAACCTTTGTAACATCGCCAAATTGCAATTTTATATACCTCAGTTTTGGCAGTTTGACCTTCATTTTGCGCGAAAGGGTTGCATGTGGCAATTTTACCTCAGTTTTTGACATTCGTTTCGTGTGACAGGGCGATGCCACGAGCCACAAAATTCGCATCTCACCACACCCTTGTGCGTCCGACCCGCTCAATCTCCGCACAGGGCCGTCGCCGGACACAGAAAATGCGAATTTCACATCAGTTCACCACACGTTCGTGCGTCCGACACGCACGATGTTCGCAGAGGGTCACGTTTCGATGGACACGGCCGGCCCTCGCCGCCTAAAGAGAGAATATAGTACTTGAGAAGCAGGAGCTTTGTAGGAGTTCAGATGCAAGTCACCTGGAAGCGAACTCCTGTGTAACAACGCCCGTGTAACAACTCCTGTACAACACCTACTGTGTAACAACTCCTATGTAAGAACTCTTGTGATCTCTTGTGTAATAGCCCCTGTATGCCCCTGTGCAAATGACATTGTAGGAGTTTTGTAGGAGATATGTAAACGTTGAGCACCTGTAACTGTAGATGAAGTTGATGTGGATGATGTAGCTGATGTATGCGACGTAGATGAAGTTGATGTAGGTGTATGTAGGTGATGTAAAGGATATGGGAGAGAGTATGTGACGTAGATGAAGTTGATGTAGATGATGTATGTAGATGATGTAAAGGATACAGGAGAGATGTAGGAGATGTAGCTGATGTATTAATGTGGAAGAAGTTGATGTAGGTGACGTAGAGAAAGTAGGAGATGTTATGTAGATGAAGTGAAAAGTTGAATTTGGCAGCAGTTCTTTGCGGGAAAAACTCCAACCTTCTAAAAAAAACAACTTTCCGCTCTATTTCCCGCAATTTTCACCTAAAGTTTCCCCAAGATGTCCATTTTGTGGGCTGCTCTGACTGCTCTCATAGATTTTTGGGTGCCACCCCCACACACCACCTACCTCCACTGATTCTTTTGCCAAGCAACAGCTCCGTGGTACCCGGCACCTTCCGCACAGGGCTCTCTGGCTGAGGGCCCACCACGCCAGTAAAGCGGCGACCTCCGCAAGTAGACAGGGTGTCCAACTGGAAAAGGCCATGAAATAGTTGAAAATTAGTTGGTTTTTCTTGGTGGAAATGTTCACTAATGTTCTATGGTTCGAATTATTGGAAATTACCATTTTCATTTGCACCTCCAGGCTGCATGGGCGCACGGTAAAAATGCAACGCGTCGGGCGAGATCGTCACAACTGCGGCCTCGCCGTGGGCTCAATGGAAAATAACTTATTTGCTTGCCATACTTCCATAATAGTCATAATATTCCAGATAAATTCTGAATTCAAATACAAATTCATACACGTCCCAAATTTGGAAGAACCAAATGGAGAGTTTCTCTACCCCCCTTTTTTCTGGCGGGTTCCCTTTCCACCTGTTCTTGTTTCCATCTGCTTTTTCTCCGGCCCCCTGCAGCCCAGCCTGAATCAACATGTTCGTGTTGGGATGCCGCCATCGCCAGATCCGCAGCTTGGTGCTGGAGCGGCGGCTGGGCGGAAAGGTCTGGAAGAAGAGGAGCCTAGGCCGATCTTCACAACCATCAGATCCACCGGGGGGGGCAAGTTTTGTCTTCAAAATTTCAGGGGTAAACAATGGGTAAACCCTACAGTGCCCTACAGTAAGTTTGATAGTCTATCATCACGTTCAGTATGTTACCCATTGCCATTTAGGGAGTATACAGACCCCATTTTTGCAGGCGCAGCCGGATCACTCCAGAGCATTGAAGGGCAGCAAAACGATGAGGCTGGCCAGCATGGGCCACATCTCCTGACATCTTAGGGTATCCAAGATCTGCAAATGGCCTGAATTTGCATTGTGGTAAACAAAAATGTAATATGACATAAATATACATAAATGGGGAAATCCCAATGAGGGGCGGTCTTCCCAACTATATCTGCTCGATGAGGGGGATCATTATCTTGGCATGAGTTGAGTTCCATAGTTTGAATGGAAGAAATGACCAGGAGGTGTCAAATCTGGATGTTAGGCGGTCAGATCATAACTGCACAAACATCGGTAAAAACAAAAATTGAGCGGCGTCGAAAACCGGGCAGCGATTTGGTTCTCATCCTTATAAGCTTTCGCGACGGCTTTCACGTCTCTTTCGCGCGCGCAGTTTTGGCTTTCGCGACGGCATTTGTTTCATAATATATCATAATATCGTTCGCGGTTGCTTTCGCGAAAAATTGCCCGTAAATGATGTTGTACATGAATATTTACATGCGCTTCTACTATCTACCTGCCTTCGCTGCTGCTTTCGCGGCTCGACCTTGACGCACTCCTTTCGCAGAGCTTTCGCGCGGCTTTCGCGCGCGGAAGTTTTGCTTTCGCGGGGGATTCCCCACATGAACCTGAATTCTAAATCCCTTCATGGAGGTTTTTGATGCTGCTCAATTGAGAAAGACCTTCTTCCATGGCGAAAATGACCAATGTCATCCAGCACCCCATGGTAAACGAACATGGCGTGCAGGGAAACATCAAAAAATCGATAAACTCCTCTACGTCAGGTTCCAAAATGGACCATTTTCCATTGTCACCTTTGCGTCTGGAGGTCCCAACAAATTTTCTCTTGCTCCGTGAAAAAAAAAAATACTACGCCTGGGGCACCAAATCTGCCAGGAGGATCCCTGCCAACGCCGTGGCGTTACCCATCACGACCAGCAGAAGGCCTTAGGTGCCACATCTTGAGATCGACATCTAATGATCCTGGTTGGTATGTTGAAGCCATCATCGTCGTCATCATCGTCGTCATCGTCATCGTCATCGTCATCATCCTCATCATCATCATCATCATCATTATCAGCAGCAGCAGCATCACCATCACCATCCCGTCAATTTTGACAATGATCACAATAAATATAATCTACATAATGCAATGGTAGTGGCTGATGATTGATCGTCCCACGTAGACGCAACTGTGACTTTTTGTTGCTTGGTCTCAACTGCGGTCAAGGGTTGTTTTAGTCTACTTATATGTATATTATATAATTATATATAATTATATATATATATATAATTATATATATAACTATATATACCCATCTGTACCCAATTTGGTTGCTAGTTTCAACCCAACCCATGTGAAAGTTTCAGTGGAATCCATTATTCCATACTTCGAGATGATAACACAAAAATAGTGAAGCCCAGCAACAAGATTTATTTTACCCTCCGCTAATCAAACATGGCAATGGAAAATCCCCGAACTAAATGGGTGTTGCAATGGGAAAATGAATCTTGAGTGTTTCAATTGCCACGCTTGATTACCGGATGGTATCAACTTTGACCCAGTTTGTATAAGGTAACTAACAAATGGAGCAACATCAAGATGAAAGTAATTACCCACTGTTCTTGGTGTGATATGCATCCCATTTTGTGGTGATCATGTTCACCAGCAAAACATGTCACCAATAACCATGGGGGGTTGACCCAGCAAACATGTTCATATGATGTGTGGAGAATGGCTAGCGACTGGTGAACAAGCATGATTGTGACTGTGACCCATTTGTAGAGGGGATAACTGTATGTAGTTTCGATAGTTCGGGGACTTGTTCATTGTTGTCATGAATAGTTGACGGTTGAGCCACTCCGCGAACGATATGAATGTCATTTGAGGATCATCTTCTCATTGTTGGGACCATGGAGGAGGGAAAACAACATGCTTGAAACATATTGAATCCTTCAATCAAAAATAGGTACAGTACACCGTTCCGGGATGTCAATTCCCAAACTCTTAGATGGAAGATTTCCCTATCAAGTTTTTTGAAAGGTTAGAAAATATCAGGTTTGGGCTTCTTACACTTTTCGTGACTGATTGATTGTGAAGTTCTGAGTGTGACTTGAACACCTTCCATCACACTGACCACCATTACTATCTCTCTATATAACTTGTCAAAGGGGGTTGTTATAGTCCAAGCTGCATTGAACACAAAAAACCTTTAAAACCACCAAACATCACCACATTAGGCTGTGAAGTGTGCTGAAAGAAGTGTAGAACATGTTGAGGTGGGGTGAAACCACCAATGGGCAGACTATTGCTTGGAGAACTCTCAAGAAGCCGCTTTCTCTGCCATGACACGCAGCAACTGGCTGAAGCCTGTCTGCTGCAGCACTTCCCTCCAACCTATCGAGTCTTGGGATGTTTGGGATGGCACCGCATGGCACCCCTTGATATGGCTACTGGGATTGAAACTGATCAATGATCCCCTGATCCCCAGGTCATTCTCCAGGTCCATGGTTCACAACTTCGATCACCTATGGTTCAGCCAACATGATCCAGGATGATCCAAGAAGCGGATATTTAACTATGGCAACTATGGTCTATGGTTGGCTCCATCCCAACTTACGCTGGTTTAATTTCCCATGCTTGTACCCATGAAAGTTTCACCTCAGCTGCACCAACGCTCCCAGACGCAACCCCCTCGACCTGGAACTCCTGATTGCAAATCCATCTCCAGTTCTGCCTTCTGGTCCCCCGTGTAAGGCCGTGCTGGAAATTGCGCCTGTGGCGTGGCTATTTATTGATAACCCATTCGAGGTAGCTGGGTAAGCCCTCTTAGGCACAAGTAAAATCAATCACAAAGAAAACGAATTGAACAACAAATTCTCAAACCTCATCCGTTCGAAAGTTAATTGGTTTTCCATTTTGTAAGTTGGCTTATACATCAAAGGTACCAAACCTCAAATTGGATGGTACAGTATACCCTCCACTATATTAACATAGACCCTGAAAATGGCCAGGCTTTATATAGTGGAAGCTAATCTTTCACGCCCCTATTTGGAAGGGTCTATGTATGTCTATGTGACTTTCCTGGAGGGTAACAGTCATACTTACCATCCAATTTTACCCTCTGGTAAACGAACACCACTGGAAAAAAAAAAACATGTTTTTAATAGTTGAATCATCATGTGTATCATCTATTTCTATGGGCCATGGCTTCCATAGCTACGTCAAATAACTAGAGACTCTCCTTTAGAGTATTCCCATTAAATCCCGGATCCCTATTGAGTCCCATTAAATAACCGTACATCCTTTGGGGCTCCCATTTCGCGCCTGACAGGAACAGTCCGACAACTTCACTTCGCACTGGCTGGACGACTCCCGACTACCGGCCTGCGCCAGGCTGCCAAGGTGCTGGCACGTGGGGCTAAAATCAGAACCAGTGGGGGAAATTCTGTTTAAATTACAATAATTCATCTAGAAAAATGATTCGTATAGCTGGGTTTTTCAACCAATCAGAACATGTTTTATCACCTGACAGGTGATGGTCTCTAGATTTTAACAAAGGTGCAACTCCTTGCTCACCCTCCTTCCTCACCTTCCTCGCCACACCTTCTTCACCTTCACATTCTTCCTCCTCCTCCTCCGCCTCCGTCTTCTGCCATCTCGGCGGGACTGGATTTTAGATGGATCCGAGCCATGCGGCGAGCCCCGGACTCCAAATCCCCAGCCCAGGATGCTGTGGAGTGCGCCTGGACCCAAACTCATGCCAGAGAGAATGCCAGATAGAATGCGCGAAAAGATGCCAGATAGAATGTCAGAATAGATGCCAGATAGAATGCCAGATAGAATGCGCGAAAAGATGCCAGATAGAATGTCAGAATAGATGCCAGATAGAATGCCAGATAGAATGCGCGAAAAGATGCCAGATAGAATGTCAGAATAGATGCCAGATAGAATGCCAGATAGAATGCGCGAAAAGATGCCAGATAGAATGTCAGAATAGATGCCAGATAGAATGCCAGATAGAATGCGCGAAAAGATGCCAGATAGAATGTCATGAATAGATGCCAGATAGAATGCCAGATAGAATGCGCGAAAAGATGCCAGATAGAATGTCAGAATAGATGCCAGATAGAATGCCAGATAGAATGCGCGAAAAGATGCCAGATAGAATGTCAGAATAGATACCAGAAGAATGCCAGATAGAATGCGCGAAAAGATGCCAGATAGAATGTCAGAATAGATGCCAGATAGAATGCCAGATAGAATGCGCGAAAAGATGCCAGATAGAATGTCAGAATAGATGCCAGATAGAATGCCAGATAGAATGCGCGAAAAGATGCCAGATAGAATGTCAGAATAGATGCCAGATAGAATGCCAGATAGAATGCGCGAAAAGATGCCAGATAGAATGTCAGAATAGATGCCAGATAGAATGCCAGATAGAATGCGCGAAAAGATGCCCAGAATAGACCAGAATGAATGCCAGATAGAATGCGCGAAAAGATGCCAGATAGAATGTCAGAATAGATGCCAGATAGAATGCCAGATAGAATGCGCGAAAAGATGCCAGATAGAATGTCAGAATAGATGCCAGATAGAATGCCAGATAGAATGCGCGAAAAGATGCCAGATAGAATGTCAGAATAGATGCCAGATAGAATGCCAGATATATAGAATGCGCGAAAAGATGCCAGATAGAATGTCAGAATAGATGCCAGATAGAATGCCAGATAGAATGCGCGAAAAGATGCCAGATAGAATGTCAGAATAGATACCAGAATGAATGCCAGATAGAATGCGCGAAAAGATGCCAGATAGAATGTCAGAATAGATGCCAGATAGAATGCCAGATAGAATGCGCAAAAAGATGCCAGATAGAATGTCAGAATAGATGCCAGAATGAATGCCAGATAGAATGCGCGAAAAGATGCCAGATAGAATGTCAGAATAGATACCAGAATGAATGCCTGAAAAAATGCCAGAATGACTGCCAGAATAGATACCAGATAGAATGTCAGAATAGATGCCAGATGGAATGCCAGAAAGAATCTCAGAATATATGCTAGAAAGTATGTCAGAATGGATGCCGGAGAGAATGTCAGATAGAATGTCAGAGCATCTGCAGGAAAGAATGTCAGATAGAATGATATAGAATGTCAGAACATATATGTAAATATACTTCCAGAATCTTCCAGATGTATGTCAGAAACTATGTCATCATAGTGTGTCAGGGTGGGGATGACTCGAAGCAAGTAATTTGACGAAAAATATGACAAATGTGGATGTTATCATAAAACTCATGGTTGAAAATCCCAAAATTGGATCAATTGGATATTTACCTTGGGTTACCATGCCTCCACCTAACAGAGACCCTGCCAAAATCTGCCAAATAGGGGTTGGAAGACTACTCTCCCTGTGCGGAATCATCGTTGGCCGGCCCTTGGCGTCCATCTGGCTCCTGGCTAAATGTGATGCCACAAACCACCAACAAGGCATGCACCTTGCATTGCACAGCACAATGGGAGAGCAAGGGCCATTCCGGTCCGCTGGCCGTGTCTTTTTGGATGGCCACCAGTGGGTCCTTAGCTGTGCTGAGACCGATTTCATGGGGATACCTTGAAAAAATGCATTTGGGCCGCATTTCTCTCCCCAGCTTTCCTGGTGTTGTTGGTGGCTGCATGCAGTTCATATACATAGTTACAGTATATATAATATATATATACAGTTATACATGACATGTTCCTCACTGGTTCCCTACTTCAAATTGCCACCTGGTAAACCCCTCTAACATGGTGGACCATATCCTGTCCCATCGTATCTTTTACCATCCCGACACGTTAATTGCATTCTCACGCGGGAATAAGCAAAGGAGACTATGGGCCAGGCCTAGTCAAATGTGTTGTTCTGCACTCTCAAGGCCTATTTTTGATGGATTGGGAGTTGCAATTTGAATGGGCACAGCCCCAAAGGCAACAAGCTTTGGACAGAACCCTGTCGCTAGCTGGGCATTGGCGAGCAGCAATTTGGCAGGCGGTCTCTGTAAAGATTTTCGGAAACGCTTGGACCCCAACCTCTCGGCTGATTTCGCTCTTGCAGGCACCTGCAGGCAGACCATGGTGCAGGGGGAGATCTGGCTGTTGGGCCAGCGACCCCTACCTCGCCTGTAACAAAGCCAGGCCCAGCTTGTGTGGCTTGTTCCCTGACGCTCAAGGATTCGGGCCTGCACCAACGAGTCGTTTCGAACCATGGACCCCGAACAGTTGTCAATGAAAATCCCTCTCAAGCCTGACTGACCTGAATAAATATATGTTTCC